AACAGGTCTTCTCCTCAAGAAGCCACTCATGCAAAAACTGTGTTGAACTGCAGCATGCATGCATTTCCTGCTTTAAAGCATCTAATCAGAAAAACTAAGATTGTGCAGGATTATTTTTTTGGTATATTCTCAGGCATGGTCAAAAGGTGCCTCACATCTCTGATTCTGGTTCCCACAAATATTGTACAGAAAGATTTTCCTCGTCTGCCATCTTCCTCCGGGTTGTCTAAACTACATCATTAATCTGCAGCCGTGCTTTAATTAGGAGTTCAGCTGAGGTGTTTTTACAAATCAACAGATTAGTTTAACAGTCAGAGACGCTGATTTGATTTTTTAAAAGCTGCTCTCGCATTAAAGTGAGACCACACTTTCATTCACAAAGTATTCTCTGATCAGCTGACCCATGAAAATTAGACAATTGGATTAATTAGTAAAAAGAGAATGGGGAAATAAAACAGAATGGGGGATGTTTTTACCGACAGAACTAACGGAGAAGAGGTGAGAGCAAGAATAATTCCCATATTTGGGTGATTTTCATGATTCCCTGTCTATGGAGATTTCATATCATATTTCATATTCATATCATATTTTCATATCTGATGCGGAAATGTCCTCACTCCCAGGGTCTAAAAGTCACCAAATAAAGTTATTGCGTTTATTTCACGCAAAGGAAACACCCAAAACGTTTATATTGGAAGAAGAATGTGAAAAATAACATTGTAACAAGCATAAGAGTTCACTTGTCTCCTTGAGATGAGGAAAAATAGTCCAAAGAAAGTCCTTTAATCCTCAGGTTTCACAGTTCAAAGTCCTTTATTTTTTGCTCCGTGGGTATCAGATAAGTCACTGCCATATTATCCAGCATTTGACTCAAATGTCCTTCACCCTTTAACCCGAAAAAAACAACCTTAATGTCTCCCTTCCTAACTTGTTAGTCACATGGGGTGCCAGGTCTTGTCCATGGACTGCAGATGCTCCTTGGCTTTCATCCTCAGAACCGCGATGCTGGAGCTGCGCTGGTCCACGTCCTCCAGAGGGTATTTATCCTGGTACTGCACTGTGCACTGGTAAGGGGGAGGCGCCATGTTCTGCATCCCCTGACCCATGGACGGGTGAGGATGGGAGTGAGGGTGAGGAGCGGAGTTGAGGAAGCTGTGGGTCGGGTAGCTAGGCTGAAGGCCCTGAGCTGGACCCATGAAGCCCGGGATGCTGTGCACCGGTGTGGCGCTGGTCAGGGGGGAGGAGAGCCAGGGGTCCAGGGGCAGGGAGCTGCTCATGGGGCCCATGCCGCTGTGGAGTTGGGGCTGGCGGTTGAAGGAGAGCATGGGCGAGTCGTGCAGCTTCATGGTGCTGGCGTCCATTTTCTCCTGACGACGCCATTTAGCTCTGCGGTTCTGGAACCAGACCTGGAGGACAAAGAACAAACTCATTAACCTTAATATAAGGAATGCAACAAAAAAACAGTGATAGAGTAAGGCAAGGCAAGGCAAGGCAAGGCAAGGCAAGGCAAGGCAAGGCAAGGCAAGGCAAGGCAAGGCAAGGCAAGGCAAGGCAAGGCAAGGCAAGGCAAGGCAAGGCAAGGCAAGGCAAGGCAAGTGTATTTATATAGCACCTTTCAACACAAGGCAATTCAAAGTGCTTTACAAAAATGAAAGACATTAAGAGCATTAAGAAACATATTATAAAATGGCATTAGTAGTAGAGTAGCTTAATAAATGTTTTGACATATTTGTAAGTTACTTGATTATTTCCATTTAAGGCTCTTTTCTGCTTTTTAGGGTTCACCTCTCCTCTAGTGTGTAAGGATGTTAATGGTCTGCGAAAGGCTAAAATCCCTGTGTTTCCTCCAGAGGGAATTTCTCTCCCACACTCCCAGAAGAAAAAGCTACTCAACAGAAGTACAAGTACCTTAAATGTGTACTTAAGGACAGCATGAGATTACTGAAAGCTCAAGGTAGTGTTTGTCGCCTTTACATCTCTAAAGAAGACACCGTCCTGACCCCTGTTTAAAGACTTTACCTCCTTGTCCCCACACACACACACACACACACACACACACACACACACACACACACACACACACACACACACACACACACACACACACACACACACACACACTTGTGGAACAATTTAAGATCAATCTCCTCACCTAAATACCTGCGAGCCAAAGGTGAAAGCTTTTGTGCGTCCTTAGAGAACCTCAGCATTTGGAAACACACCAACTCTTAATGTTACCTGCCAGGTACTAAGTACATTTATTCAATTACTGAGGTACAGTACTTATACCTACTTGAGTATATCTATTGTATGATGTTTTTACTTCAACTCCACTACCTCTTAATCAGTTTATTTCAGACCATTATAAACTTCAAATAACATTTAACTTATCAAATACAAGTGTTTGTCAGTATATTTGAAATGACTAGGTTAGCTACATTAGCTAGCCAGTTTACAACAGATCTGCAGTAATATCAGACGGAGTCATGTGATCACATTGTTAAAATAAGCCCATACAAAATGTTAGGTACGTTTCCAACAACAGAGACAGTTGTCCAACTTTATAATCCTGAACGCCACCAAGTGCTCTGGTCCCAGCTGTGTGCGTCACTTTCTAGTGTCCCCTGGTTTCAGTTGTGTTTTGAGCTTTTGCCACGACGGACGCCAAAAAAGCCAGAGATTATGGAATTAAACAAATAAATAAAAACAAGGATAATTGTGTGCTATTGTTGAGTAAATAACAGTGTGTTATTTAGAAAAGAATAACAAATAAGAAGGAAAAAAATATTTAAAAAATACAGATTTCAGTATTCTGAGGCTCTGAGCCCCATTTCTTTTCCTCACAGACGGCAAAAAAAGTCCGACATTATACGATTTAAAATAAAAACAATAATCGTGGCTTGATATTGAGTAAGAACATGTTTTTATGAACCCCACAGCTTCCGGTCTTCCAAGACCCGACCGGACAAAAAGACGTGTTGCAGGCACGAAACATACTACCAATAGAAATACATTGCTTTTAAAATCGTTCTGTGTGACAAAAAAAAAAGGGGGAAATCGTGTTGATGAACACGAATCAATAGATTAAGTGACTATAACACGAAATGCCGTGAGACTGGGTTGGTTGTAGAGCACCTGTCGGCCACCAGAGCAAATTCATTGTTTGTGTAAACGTACCTGGCAATAAACTTGATTCTGATTCTCAAAGATCAATATTTCCCTCTGAATTGAGGTGGGGTGAAGTGGCATAAATTGATTTGTACTGAAATGAATGTACTCATCTACTCTCCACTACTGGATGCATGTGATGTGGTTCCTCTTACCTGCACTCGGACCTCGGGGAGGTTGACCTTCATGGCCAGCTCTTCGCGGCTGTAGACGTCGGGGTAGTGGGATTTCTCGAAGGCTCGCTCCAGCTCGTGCAGCTGGTAGGTGGTGAAGGTGGTTCGGTTCCTCCGGTGCTTCTTCTTCGGCTGTTCGTCCATGCAGGGGTCCGGAGAATTTCCCTCGTCACTCTCCACACTCTTCCTCAGCTCACTCAGCTCCTCATCACACTTGTTGGTAAATAAGCCGGTATCTGAGCAGAGAAGAAATGAAATGTGTTAAAACGATGGAAATGTGAAATGAACAGGGTTGGGAAGGTTACTTTGCAAATGTTATCTGTTACAACAACTACGTATTGACATGCAAAGAAAAACGATTCTTATCAGAATATCAAAGTTATCTGATTACTTTCAGCTACTTTTGGATTACCTCAATATCAAATGCAATGCAGATAAATCCAATAAATATCAATAAGGTGTTTTTTACTGAAGTGTATTTTGTAAGACAACAGAACAATGTGACCTTAGAAAAGAAGAAACCAAGATATTTAGGATCAGAAATGATCGTTTTTATAGGAAAGCCTGCCTTTCATTCAGCATATCCAGGCAGTAGCCTAGTATACACCGACAATGAAACACATGAGCACTTTATACTACAGTTCAAACAAGCTGAAATAAAATCTGAGCTGACAGAAAATGCTCCGTTTTAGTTTAATACACACAGTTAAGCTTACACACACTACTTTATGAACATACTGTATAGGTTCCTACTGAATTAAAAACAGAAATAATGGAGCAAATAAAGTGAAAACCATAAAGCAGATTCAGGCAGGAGGCGTCTAGATTCACACTTAAAGTATTAGCCTACAGAACAGCATAGTTTACAGAGAAGAGATAACATCTAACACTAATCAGATTTTCTTTATGTGACTGTAAGTAAATACAGATAACTTTTTTTGCATCCTGACTACATAATGTAATCCATTATTCCCCAACCCTTGTAATAAAGAATGTTGTGCCTGTTGTTTCCGGTAGAGCAGACATTAGTTTGACATCTGCAACAATGGGCTACTGTAGGTCAGTGGAGCAGGCAATTCCATGAACTTCAAGGAAGCACGAAAACATTCCTAATCAGATTTAGAAAAAGTTGTTTTCCAGCGTTGATCTTCCACAAAGATAAACGCATGACAGTGGAGAACTAGACTTCAAATTAAGTTAATTCCCAACACTGGATTAGGATAAAAGCAGCAGCTCTAACAACATCTGTTTATGTTTACTATGAAAAGGATTTACCTGCAACTGTCTCAGTTCATAATCCATTAAAACATTTGGTTAATCAAAATGGCTGAATAACGCCGGCTAGGAAGTAACGAGGACTCTCTTGTGGGACGTTGTAAAACGGGAAGTTACGCCATTTTCAATTTACTGTGCCATTTTAAAGCTTTTTACAGGCCTGCCGTTTATGGATTTCCTCCATAATAACTAATCAGGTACACTTGAAATTTGGCGAGCACAATGCCAAGACCTTTGTGATGTGAAGTTTCTAAAATCTTGAGTATTGATGGAACCACTTGGACTCAGCACTGTTGCAGAAAAACGCCATTCAGCTTAAAACAGGAAGTTGTTGATTCAGCGCACACTGTACAATTTGCATATGCATAATAAGACTTAAAGATTAATCAATTAATTCCTCTCCTCCCATTCATTCATTATCCTCCATAATATGTCTGTATGTCACTTTCAACACCAGAAAAATGCACGAGACAGAGAAGAATTTAGTCTTTAACTCCATGTCAAGAGATGACTGTATTAGTCTAACCGGTAAGTAATTTGATTAAACAAAGTACAAAGATGATTATCCTCCAATCAGATCAGTCTCAGACCTTATCTTAACCTTCGTCAGGTAACAAACATCGTTCAGGTAGTGTTGCATATGTTGTCAATAACAGAAAGGTAGAAGTAGAAGTATTAACTCTGCCATCTTTTGTGTAAAAAGTGGGTTCAAATAAGAAGGAAATAGGATTTGGGAGCGATCTGTTGTCTACTAATCGGACGGTCACCCAGACCTTACATTCAACATGTTGAAGTATCAATGGGCAATAATTAGTTTCATCAAGTTGCTGTGTCGTGTATTGCAAGTCAAACAAAAAATAAAATATCCAAAGTTCAGATTTTCTTTACTTTCACTTAGTAAAAAGTGTGGATAAAGGAGACATAAATTGTAATCAAGGGGACCCGGTTAGTCAACACGTCTGTGGGAAACACTTCATCAGGGCTAATGATGCTAATGAGGCTAATGAGGCTAACGTCAATCGTTAAAGTTGTCATGTTAGAAGTCAAAGTAGTGTCTGTAGACGCTGCATTAGAATATAAAACCTTGACAAGATAAGGAAATCCCAGTTTAAGTTTAGCCAAAGAAACTAATTAGATTTATTCTAGTACAAGATCTGATTACGTCTTCCACCTCTGAATACAGCATGTTAATTTAATGACTAGTCTCTCAATTTGGCTACGAGTTCAGCTAAGTAGCTAGCTTTGAGAGCATTCTTCAAATGACCTTTTTCTGGTTAACGCAGGGGAACAAAATAGTCTGTGTTCTTGTTTTGAAGCGACAGGTCTTACATTTGGAGATGATATTTAAGCTAGCTTGGGACCATGAAACTGTTGGACACCATATCGGGCTACAGCAGCAACAGCTAAATGACATGTAATGTACTCTGCTGTAGAATCATTAGCATCACTGTAAGATACATGTTGAGAACTTTCCAGAACATGTCAATGCTTTAGTAAAACAACTCACGGCATAACAATCTGGTGAAATGTGTTGATGGCCATAGAGAAGGAGGAAGGAGGAGGGGGGAGAGGGGGCGGCCATTGTGGTTTCTTCAACTGGCAAACGGGATATTTGGGGGTTCATTTATCCACCTCTCATTAAGCAGCCATGACAAAGGCCAGGCTCGGACAAAGGCGGAGGTCAGGTCTGGTTCAGTGACCAGCTCTCGGCCTGTCAGCCCATCAGACTGAAGGCTGCCCACTGTTTATCAGAGGCGGGGGGGGGGGGGGGGGGGGGGGGGGGGGAGAAGTGAGAAGTGGCTCATTCGGGGGGAACTGGGCTGACTTCACAGGATAGTTACATACAAAAGGGTGATGTCATTTCTGTTGATGTACGTTAATCAAGAAAATCGAGCGAAGGCGTGGATACGGAGGCTGAGTTTGAAGCCGGAGCTGCAATGATGGGTCAGTTGACAATAATAAAAAAACTGCATGCAAAAAAGTCATAAAATGCAGTTTTTTACCCATACGAATATGGAGATGTTCTGCTTTTATCTGTTGTTCATCACATGAACCTGGAAATGTTTTGGGTTTTCAACAGACAAAACTAAAAAGCTCAAGACATTACTGTGGAGTTTTGGAAACTGGGATAAAAAATGTCATTATTTTCTGACATTTCATCGACCAAACTCAGAAACTAACTTGTATACTAATCATTCATTCAAATCAATTGCTAGTTGCAACATAAACTTGATGTAAAAAGTGTCACATATTGGTTTTTGGGCTAAGGTTTTGAAGCCATAAATTGGGGTTTATCGCATCGTCATCTTGTTTTAAATTAACCAGATGTGACACGAGAAGCTAAGTACAACAGAATGCTAAAAAATAAATGTATTTTAGGTAACAAACATGGTCAAAGTGACTTTGATGAACTGTAAATGGTTAATTGACTGTACTTATATAGTGCCTTACAGGTCTATACGACCCCTCAAAGCACTTACGAGTCATTCTCCTGTTCACACCTCATTCATACAGAGCAGTGCCACTTGCTCTACGGAAGCTAACATTCACACACACTCACACACCGTTGGCCATCGGGAGCAACTCAGGGTTCAGTTTCTCGCCCAAGGATACATCGACATGTTGACTACTCTGGCTGGGATCGAACCCACAACCTTCTGAGAGACGACCACACTTCAGTCACCCATCAGGGTCAAATTTGGAAGGCGAAAACACAGAGAGCACCAATACTGAACAACATCCATCTTTAACAAGCCATACCCTGCTTTATGGTCTACGGACGCAAACGCAAACGGACCGAATTCGTTATCAAAAAAGTATTCCGTTCACACGCATTCGGCTCATTTAACGTGTCCGTTCACACGAGACCACTCGAAACGCTGTAGTACATATGCCGGGCCTGTAAGTGGCGCTGTACTTTCTACCACAAATAAACCAAAAGCAGCGAAGAAGACCCCCGAGCGTGGTTGCCATGGTTGCCCTTCTGTTTATTCTCCGCGGTGGATTTAGCAACATGTAGTTCATGTAATTCTCCATGTCCACTTGTTGCTGATGGTTGTGGTAGAGGAGCTGTAGATTTTGCACTAACATCTGTAGCATGGTCAGTAGCAGTAGCAGTAGCAGTAGCTACTGACCATGAAACAGCAGTGAGCAGCAGAGGTGGGGAGAGGCGGGGCTATGGCTTCATCGTTATCAGGAAATGATCGTATAGGGCGTACACACGGAGCCGTTTGGCCCCCCAGAGCGTTCCGTTTGCAGATCTATCCACCTTGGGACCCGTTATCGTTTGCGGGGTCCGTTTCCGCGGTTCCGTTACGGCCTCGTGTGAACGAACGGGCTATACGCGAGAGAAAAGTAGCAGATACAACCCGTTTCATTCTTGTGTAAACACCGCCTAATTCAATAGTCTCAAAACTAGCATTTGACACCATAGAGTCATGTTTACAAAAGTTAATGAGGTAATAAATCAAGCGAAAAGTGGGCTCACTTCCCCACAGACTTCTATATAATCTGACTTTGGTTGCCCTGGGAGGATGCAGCTTGAGCCTTTTTTAAATCACTTGATTTTTCACGACAATAATCTTGTGTTTGGTTGGTTTCTGCCACAAAACCAACTGCCAGATCCTGCATGTGAAGTCAGCTCGAGATTAAACGTGACGAATGTGATTCTGAGACCAAACGATAACCAAAACACCCGAATGAACTACTGTACAATCTAATCTGCACGCAAGAGAAGATTAGGGGAATTCCTCAAGGGGATGGGATTGTACTCAGGGACATAAACCCCCCCCCCCCCCCCCCACACCATCTTGTCCTGTGATTTATCTCCAAATCTCTTACAGTAATGCAACAGGCTTCATGGAAACAGTGTTTGACACAGTGAAACTGCATGAGAGGAGTGATGCAAACTCCTCAGAAAAGCTACACCAATTGGTTTTGGTTGCCTATGAGAATATGATATCATAAATTTAAGCTTCAGTCTAAATCTTTTCCATCAATACTTTTGAGATTTTTCCCTTTCCGTTAATGCGTAATTGTAATTGATTTACTTTAATGTTCATTGTTTTTAGGAAAATGTCTCATAAGCTTAGAACTGCATATTCAGAATGGCCTATATCTGTATCTTACATCTACTTTTGTAAAAATACTTGAATCAACGTACTTAGTTCAGGTGGAGTTTTAAAATGTGTTTTTCAATGTTGATAACATTTTAAATCATGATTAATTAGTTGAGTTATATGTTTAATTATTAGATAATGTCCACAGCATTTTGTCAACACTGCATTACTTTTAAAAACACCTTTTGATGACAACATTTTTTGGCTTGTTGAATAAATGATGGTGGATTACTAGCATAGTACACTTCAGTAAAAATCATTATATTGATGTTTACTTGCTCTTCTATTTATTTGCATTGCATTTGACATTAAGGTAATCCTAAAGTAATGGAGAGTAATCAGGTTGCATTACTTTTATATTGCTGTAACATTACATTTCTTTACAGGTAACTAGTACATTGTACACAGACATGGGCATCTCATTGTCAAAAACAAAAGTGGTGGGGACACTCTTTTTCAGATAAAATAAAACACTACTGCATTGACCACTAGTGCAGTAACTATACTACGCTGCTGCAAAACAATTCTCTATTAAATTATAACTTATATTAAACGTGTCTCAGGTCCAAACTGCCCTTCTCCAACACACCCAGAAAGTATGAACAGTCCTCCAGACTCTACATGTTCTCTTGTGTTCTCTTCTCAAAGTGTACAATTCTTTTTCACAAACATTCCTTATGCAAAGTGGTGGGGACAAAATTAGCCATTTCCAAAAGTGGTCCTTAGACATGTCCTTGGCGTCCCTAGTATAATTGACGCCTATGGAAGCAGATTACATTTTTAAAGTAACCCTCCTTGTTAGTAATCACAGTGAGGCTGCAGCGGTTTTAAAAGTAAAAATCATCTTATTGACATTTATTTTCTCTTGTGTTTATTTGCATTACATTTGACATTGAGGTAATCCAAAAGTAACAGAAAGTAATCAGGTTACTTTTGTGATACTCAGATTACATTAAAACATTTTTAGAGATTACATTAGTAACCCTCCTGTTATCACAGTGAGGATGCACAGTTTCACTCACCATGGTACTCCTCCGTGCCTCCGTTCCTCAGCGAGGAGAGATGCCCGCTGAAGGAGGAGTTTTCCTCGGGCCCCCGGGGCTCCCCCAGACCCTCGATGTCCACTTTGTGGGTCCGCGGGGCCCCTGAAGGGCTGAGCAGGGGGTCCTGGTCCTTACTGAACCCCAGGATGACGTCGATGCTGTGGACGCGGCCCCCCACAGAGAGCCCCCCACCTTTCCCCAGATCGTGGAAGTTGCTGGGTGAGAGGCAGCTGTCGTCCACCATCATGGTGTCCAGAGAGAGATGCATCGAGCGTCCGGCCCTAAAGGAACGGGAGGGGGGTCAGGGTTTATCACTTTTGTTTAAATGTGTTATTTTGAGTTTTGTTCGTTGCCATCTTGTTTATATTGTGCTTTTTTGTAGTGCATTCTTCTTGCACGAGAGTAGATCCTTTAGGGGGAGACGGCAGGTTAACAGTACATGCAACCAGTGCAGAAATACTCTTTTGAAAATAAGACTCATGCAAACTTCCAAGTAAAAGTAGTGTTGTACATTAAAAAAAATAAACAATATCATATTATTGGATTATAATTATGATGTGAATATATAATGTGTAAACATCACTTTGATATAGCATGGTAAATGTGTGGCTCATTTGAATGAATTTATGTTTATTTAATGCTCTTATGCTTTCTCTTTGGAGAAATGTTGAAAATAAGGAGCTAGAAACAGCAACATATTTGCAATATTTAGAAAAATACTTTATTTTAAAACTATGAGAATACTAATTATTGTTTCCAAACTGCTGGAGAATTGTGTGAAATCCCTGTAAATCCTGAGGAGTATTGTGTGGAGGTGCAGAGGGTCAGAGATCACCTGCTCCCTCTGCATGACTCTGTCCATCACATTAACCTGATTATCCTGCGGGGGGGCACCGTCTGCACTGAGTGTGCTGATGGACACTAATGACACCCGTTACCTCCTAATCCACACTTTTTACTTTTTTTTTAACGAATGGTCTGCTCTGCTGAGGTTAATTAGGAACGAATGTTTGATTTAAATTCACTTTTTTCCACATTTCATAGGACAATAATACAATTTCTCTCTTAAAAACTAACACCAAAGTCTCTATATTGGAATAAAAAAAACGTTATCATGTTATTTAACTTTACTCACATATTATTTCCTATTCATTTGACATTATATCCCTGTTTTTGTTCATGCTGTCTGTTTTAAAGTGAGAAATTGCTTGGTAAATACAATTTATTATCCTTAATACGCACAACATTACCTAAACTGTTACCAAAAACATCTGTCTGTCAAGTGCCATTTAAAATACTAAATCTTGGACGCCAAGTAAATAATATTGACGTTTTTTTAAAAAGCATATAGGAACTACAAGTGTCTACAACGTCTAAAATCATGGACTGTAAGTATAAAGCGAGTCAATTTATTGGTTATATAATAGTTAAATAAAATAAAGCCTTATGCAAAAGATCAAATATGGTTTATGTGTTGTAAAGATAAGTCTGTTAAACACACATTCAGTGCATGAAATTGAAGATATTTTGCATATAAATAAAGTCAATTGACTAGATTATAAGTGTAACATTAATTCCTTTCAGTGTTATTTGGGGATTACAGCTACTCTTCCATATAGAGGAGCAGGGACAATCTGTTTTAAGTTAGTTTAGTACGTTCCTAGTTTGCTAGTCTTGGTTTACCGAATGCATCGTGAGACTTTCCTCCTCCACTTGCATGGTGAGTAATAGAGTTAGGTGTCGGTAAATGTATGACAGTGTTGGAGCTCACCTGTTAGAAGTAATTACGATATTAAAGTTGCTCCACCTGTCCTCTCCACCTTCAGATCCTCTCGCTGTCAATCAGCCGGATTTGCCTCCCTTGCATTTCCCTCAATAATGTCTCTAGGTTGGCTAAAAAAGCAGTCCTGCAAAAAGTGCAACAGAGTAAAATCCAGAGCGCTCACAGACTGAGACTCAGAGAGTGCAGGAGGCGCTCAGGGCTGAGGGGAAGGAGGTGAAACCAGGGGATTAGGGACGGGGCTATTAATTGGGATCCGTCCCCCGAAACAGTGATTGGCAGCTGGTTTCTGCTCAAGTAATTGTTTTAAATGTCATTTCCATTCCCCCCCCCACACACACAGCAGGAGGCCCCGGTTAATGAAGCCTGCACAAGACTTTCTTTCATAAATGAATTGTTTTAAAGACAAAGAGACACTGAGAGATTTCACTGACACACACAGCCCCCCATTATGTGGACCCGCATGCAACAAAGTAAATGATAACACATGAGGTTAACACTATCCATCAGGGCAAAGTTGACCTGTTCATTTAGAATACATATTATATTTGTCTACAATGAATATCCCATTAAAGCCATTTTTGTATTTGATGTATTATATCACATTATAACAATGACTTAAATCTCCTTCTTTTATTATTATTATTATTTTGTTGAACTGCTTATTTAATTTAATTTAATACATATTTGATTGTTTTTGAATTTTTCCACAGTAATTTGTCCTTTTACTCTTTTGGTTTCCTGGTAAAAACATGTTTTAAATATATTTAAAATTCTTGTTTTATAAACTATGGTAAAGAAGAAAATCAGTAGCTGGAAAAGCAATTTGTTGCAATATTTAATAAAGGTTTTATTTTTGAAATATCTTAATTTAAAAAAAGACAAATACAATTAATATCCCATTACTTTTTTTTTTTTAAAGTTAATTTATTAAATTACACTAAACAGTAACATTGTCTAAAATCATCTAACATTTTTTAAAACATATTTAAGAAAGCCTACAACCCAAAACACCGCAGATATCCTAATATTAAAACCATTTATCAAAAGACACTAAATAGTAATATTGTCTTAAATCTCCTTAAAACATTTTTTCATATATTTATTTTGTGACTTTTTTTGTAACCTGATGCAAGAAATGCTTCTTTTATTACCTGTGTTTGTTTTGCAATATTCAAAAAAATAAAAAAGCCTTTGTTTTAGCCTTGGTTAGTTACGTTAGCTTTTTAGCAGATCTGCATCTGTCATGTGATCCCTTTGTTAAAATAAGCCCATAAAACATTTTAGGTAAGTTTCCAACAACAGAGACAGTTCAACTTTATAATCCTGAACGTCACCATGCGCTCCGGTCCCAGCTGTGTGCGCCACTTTTTACTGTCCCCTGGTTTCCGTTGTGTTTTCAGCTTCTTGCAGCGTTTGGTTGTTGCAGAGCTTTTAGTAAACACTGTGCATGTTTCCTAAAGTTAGTGAATGTTTTCTAAATGCTGCATGTGTTGTGAAGTTGGTGAAGATGTTCCTTCATGTGTTTTGGAAAATTTGTGTTTTTATGTTTGCATCGTTTCTGAAGCTGCAGCACGTTTCTCCTAATGGAAATGTTTTGGGCCGTATTGGCACCTGTCGACCACCGTACAGTGCCTATGCTCATAATAAAACAAATCCACATGCCTTTGATTTACGATAAATGCATTTGTCAGGGCACCTGGGGAAGTGTTCTGCATCTGGAAGAGATTCTTCTTCAAAAACATATAGATAATTATAGAAAATGTTGTTGCATTAGGGCGCATTGCACAGTAAAACTTCACTTATGGAGGTGCATATACAGATTCTCTCAATCATAGTTTTTTTAACCCTTGTATAGCTGATGTGAACTGCAGTTAATGGTAATATGATGTTAAAACACAGACTGATTCTCAACATTAACTGGAAATAAAAGCCCTGCTGCTGCTACTGCTTCATTATCATCACGTATTGCTTCTTTGTTTCCTGGAGCACCAACGTGTCTGTTCGCAGCCTGAAAGCAGTGGAGCTTAATGTCACAGAAATCCTCCACGACTCGAAAGACGCTCAAGAGATTACCCGTGACCTCAAACATATCTAAAGATAAATTAGAGGAACCTCGATTTAACTGCTGATTCAGTTTCAGTCTGTACGGCCGGGAGAATGTACACATGATGAAATATGTAAAACAGAGTTTGCTGAGAGAAAAAATAGGAAGATGTTGTTGGTTTTCATCGGAAAAGAGGAGATTTCAATGCTAAATGTGAAGAAAACATCATGTCAAATAGTTTTTTTCAGGATCTGAAAGCCAGGATTCAGAATTCATTTTGCTTGTTTGTCTATCTCTGTTCAATTGAATTCCCACCCTTAAAGGTCTCCTATCATGCTATTTTTAGGCATATATTATGGGTCTCAGATATATAAAAAAATATAAAAAACATGTCTATGATGTGTTTTGCTCAAAATACCAAACAGATCGTGCATTTTAGACATCCCTCATATCCCTCTGTTTTAGCCTTGTTAGAGAACTGCTGATTTGGGGTCCTTACCTTGAAAGAAGGAGGCGGAGCTAATGCCTGCTCAGAATTCTACGAGATACAGCTTAATGCTCCCGTGATTAAATGCCATCATGTTCCAAACCACATCAAGGATTATTTCTGAAACAGTATGGAGCTCAAAGGCTTTCTCTCTTGCCGGTTATACCACAAGGTGAGTTCCTTTTTTTATTTCCTGCTTCTTGACACACATGCTCTCCAGTACAGGTTAGCTCTGAGTGTTAGCGATGCTTGCTAATGTAAACAAAGACCATATTACGTCCAAAACAGTCGGGCATTGTTTCTGATAGCAACGTTTCTGATAGTGCGGTGGGTCCACATTTCCGATATTACGTCATATCGGACGCAAATCTGGATCAGCTCCGTTGTACCCCCGTTTTTAGAGATTTGGGTACGGAGGAAAAGAGAGAGGGTTTTGTTTTCTGACACTTTGTGAGTTCCCCCGACACACCGGGGACACATATTTATGTATAAAAGACATCCATAAGTGCATTTTGCATGATAGGTCCCCTTTAAACCATGCATGTCAGGGTTTACTATCGCTACGGTAGCCAACACGTGCAACGGCCCAAAAACATTTGGGGAAACGTGCTGCAGTGTCAGGAACCATGAAAATATAAAAACACAAAAGTGCAAAAAGCACATGCAAATTAAGAAACATCTTCACCGACTTGACAACACATGCCACTTGAGGATTACTAGTCGTTTACTAAAAGCTGCATAAACCAAACGCTATACAAAACGTTGCAAAAGGCTCAAAACACAACGGAAACCAGGGGACACTAAAAAGTGACGCACACACCTCGGACCGGAGCTCTTATTGACGTTCAGGATTATAAAGGACAACTGTCTCTGTTGTTGGAAACTTACCTAAAATGTTTTATCCACTTATTTTACCAATATGATCACATGACTCCTTGAAATATTACTAGGTTAGTTAAGTTATCTTGCAAGCTTACAGCAGATCTGCCAGTTGTTGACTTTGGTGAAGATGTTTCTATGTGTTTTGCCACATTTGTAATCTTATATTTGCATCGTTTTTGAAACTGTAGCTCGTTTCTCCTAATTGGAAGTGTTTTTGGCCGCTGTAGCACGTTGGCACCTGTCAGCCACCGTAAAATGTCCTTAATTCACCTCGAGTACTTTATCTGAAAATAGCCCCCAACATCCCGTCCCAACATGTAACAGAAATAAAATACATGCACATTTTATATATTGACGTGTTGAAAGCAATGCCGGCCTCCTTGATCTCCATCTTTGCTATATAATGTCCTAATCATTCCCATTAGAGTCCCCAGTCTGTTTGCAGTCTCCCTGCCAACAGGCTTAGAGGGTAATGATACCTTAATGTGCTTGCTTATCCCCTCATGATTTTGTTAATACATTTTTGTCCTTCCACTGTTCCCCTGTTATCCTAATTGTACATACATTGGCTAAGAAGGAGCAGAGCAGTTAGCAAGCTGCTTAGAATTATCAGATGACAATGTAAGTCCTGCTGATCCTATTAGAGGCAAAAGCAGGTAACGTGTAAATGCCCAGTGTCAGCTTACCAAAGGGGGGGGGTCGTAGAGAGGGGGGAGATAAAGAGTGGTGGTGTGACAGGGAAGGTGAATTCATGTGATTCTCCATCATGCACGAACACACAGGCAGAAAGAGAGAAAACTCTGCTGTGATTGGCTGCTGATAATTCCACAGAACTCTTGAGACCGACTGCTGTGATTGGCTGCTGAGAATTCCATAGAACTCTTGAGATCGCTGTGATTGGCTGCTGAGAAAAATAACATGTTTGCTTGTATACTATGTTTTTGCCAAACCATCACAACAAGAACCCAATAGAGTGGTGCAGGGATGACGTATTTACCCGGAAATAAGCTGCTGGTTCCCTCGACAAAAAAGCAATGGGATTTCTCCACAAGATTTTGGAAAATAGCTCGAAATAAGATCTGTGGAAAACGAACCTGTTTGATAAATGCACGTTTTGTTCAGTCAGATAATCTCCATGTCTACCCTACTTTTATAATTTTCGAATCATAAATCTAATTGCCAGAAGCAAAATGCTAACGTTATGCTATAAACGAACTACAGCCGAGTACAGCAGCACGACTTCAACGTCACGCCGACTTAAGATCCATATTCAAACATACAGATTCTAAATGGTACGAGTTGAAGCGTTTGTTTGAACAGTTTGCAGGAGGCAGGTACTTGCTTTCAAGCAGAACAGGGGCAAACAAACTTAGCGAGAGTGTTTACTGTTCGGCGTAATGACGTACAACATCCTCGACAACTTCTGTAGTCCTATTCAGCCACTTGTTAACAACCATCGTTTTTCAGACACGTCAACTCTTCAAAAATCACCAGTGGGGTCACTGCTGATGTATTTAATGTCGTAGAACAAAACGTGATGCGTCTCTTCAATTTGTGTCAACCACAGACCTTATTTCCAGCTGTTTCCCTAAACCCTATGGAGAAATCTCATTGACTCTGAGACGAGGGAACCGGAAGTGGTGAAATGCTAACTCACTTCCGGGTTTCAGGACTCGTCCCTGCACCACTCTATAGAGCAAATGACAAGAAAACACTTTTTTCTTTCCCACTTCTGTTTATTAAATAAGTAAATTAGAAATGTTTTGCACCTGTCGGCCACCGTATTTGTCCACCAGTTGCCACATGTTTAAAGCCATTTCCATTTAAACCCTGGATGTTTAATCTGTAATAGAGTTAATGGTAAACCCTGACAGGTAAAGTGCTTTGTGTTTGGGAATTTAATTGAACAGAAATGGACAAACAAGATGCTGAATCCTGGCTTTCAGAACCAGTGTTTCCTCCTAATGGAAGTGTTTCGGGACCCCATTTTGAATATTGATTTAAAATGATTCCTCATGATGAAGAGGACTTAACAAGAGCCAGAGGGAGAGATATAAAAAACAGTGTCAGAGCTGGTTATGTGAAAGCCCCTTTACTGTCCCTGTTAGGAGATAATTCCTCACAAAGACAAACAGTTGATGATGCATATGGCTGCCGCTGAGCCGTCTTACTGAGGCTGCTTTACTGCGTGTTCCCGGCTAAATCTTCCCCACAGATCTCAGGGTATTTTAAGTAGTGAACCTGTTGCTTCCTGACAGACTATTGATCCAAATGCCAATATGTTCAACATTAAAACGGGTCCTGGTGCTTAGAGACGGCTGGCTTTGGTATTTAAAACATAGTTGTTCTTAGGTGTAATTGACCAGTTTTGACCTATGATTATTTTCCCTTTTTATCAAGACCGTTCATATATTTTTTAGCATTTTAAAGTGTGACATATAAATAAAATTAGTTGTTATGATTATTATTGGTATTATTATTGGTATTATTTATCAGTTTTAATAGTATAGTTACATTGTAATCATTATAATAAGAATAGAAATAATAATAATATTGTTTATTATTATTATTACTATTATTATTATTAGCAGCAGCAGTGTTGGAAAAATATTAAAAGTAAAAGAACATGTTAATATTTATAACATATAACGTCTTAGCAAAATTGCTGTCAATTCATTCTCTGTTAACCCTCTCATGGTTCAACTTAAATATAATGTTGGATGCTTTACTATATACCAAATAATCAGGGCCGGTTCTAGCCAATTTCATGCCCTAGGCGAGATTTTTTTATCTCTCCAGTTTTAAACGATATTTTTGGTTTACTGTCCTATAGTATACATTGAAATGATATAAAACCTGTTTATCCCAATAATTATAAAGGAGTGCCTTGGAAATATTTGTTTACATAAATTGTGATCAAAACGTTTGAGACCCATTGAGATAACTTAGACTAAAGTGAACTAAACACTCAGAGTCCTTTACCTCACTGAGCCTCTCAGTCTAACAGGAGAGAGCTCTCCTCCAGCCTTATTGTAGAAACATCTTCTTCTTATATCCGTTAGCGCAGCTAGCACCAGATGCTAATAACAACAGCGCCGGCACCGGTGCGCCCTCTCTCTCTCTCGCTCGCTCCCACGCTCACTCGCACTTTGGCTATGAGCTGCGGGCGCCTGATAAGCCAACATCCCCCACTTTCATCACTTACAGCGCCCATCGTACAGGGCAAATGAAAAGTGTAACCGGGGTGAAAAGGGTGTTACATTTACTTAATTATGAATGTTGTTACATCTAGGCCGAAAATTAGGATGAGCACCAACGGTCAAGAATGTTTTTTTCCCTCCAAGAGCTACCAGCGCAACGCCCCCCCAGATCTGGCGCCCTAGGCAACCGCCTATGTCGCCTATGCCAAAAACCGGCCCTGTAAATAATCACATTCTATTGTCTGTCAAAATCAGAATTTATAAAGTAACTGGTTAATAAATATGTTAAATTAAAGTAGTAGAGTAAAAAGTACAAAATAGTAGAAGTATAAAGTATTAAAAAAAGCATAAACAGCTTTAACATTAAACAATGGCTTCATATATGTTTTTGGTTTGTGAAGCTCTTTGTGTTAGAGTTTGCATGTGAAAAGTGCTCTGAATACAGTTTGAAGCCTCCTGCTAACCCTAGCTGTTATTGTTGGCTGTGTTTCATGTTTACTTAATGCAGACTGTAATTACCAATAGCCATGAGGGCCAGAGGGGTGTGATAAGGTGAGAGCTACAGATCAGGGTGAGGATGTTTCTTCTGACAGGCCGGTGTTCCTGAGGAAAGCAGCTCTCCAGGGATGAGCGGACACCTTATGTCTCAGAGAGCTCACCCCCCTCACAGTGACCACGATGTGCCTAATCCAACCAGCTGATCAGGGTCCATCCCCTGAAGTGAGCCCTGCTCAACAACAATAACACTGCAGGACTACTGATAAACTGTATCCAGAGAGAGAACGCTATTATAACACGTAATAAATATGTTTAATAAATGTTTTTATTCAGTGTTTTATCTTCCTGACACTTGGCCATTTTTCTAATAGGTATTTGTTTATTACTGTTTACATTCCTAATCAAGGACCAGGCTGTTTATCCTGTGAGATTAAAAAATGTATCTAAAGATAAAAATGTAATTTAGCTTTCTTTATTTGTATTATTATTAATAATAATGACAACATACTACAGGAGAGGGAAAACCACAAAAAGTAGGACAGGGCCTCTCAAATACTTATCAAAAAAGTAAAAATATTCCACAAAGATGATATAATATTGAAGTTTTTTTCACATAAATGAATGAAATCCTAGGATATACACTACTTTCAGGATTTTCATTAAACGTGTTAGTGTGTATTATATGCAAAGGAAGAACACTTAATGGGGTGCACACAGGAAGTGACACCTTCATTACGGTGCAGGAGGGCTTCGTGTTGCATTAATTTTGTTCGGGAATAATCAGAAAAAGGAGTTCAAGACCGGTAAACATCTCAGACACAGATATCAACGCATAGAGCAATAAAAACACATATTTTTAGTGCATTTTATTTCTTCTGATTAACACACAGAAGTCAGAGAGACTGTACGCGTTTGTGAAGTGCACATGAACGCAGCATTGGTGAACGTATTCCTGCATCAGGGCTATAAAAAGCTGGAAAATAACCAGTGGTATTCAGGAATAAAATCCTTGAAATCTTTCATTATTATTGTTTTTTTGTAAACATTTTAAAGAGGGGAAATTGCTGCTCATCCCATTAGAGCTTCATGGAAACTGCAAGCAGATTTAGGAGGATCAGGCATTCATTTGGGGGTCCGTCTCCCGGGACAAATACCAGGCTTAGTAAAAAAACATCTTTAATTTCACTTCTGACGTGACAACAACAGAGGCTTCATGTCGTGTAGAAAGACCAACATTTCATTGTATTTCTATTAAAAAAACAGCCGACTACTCATACGGTGAAACATTCATAAATACATTATATAACTGTATGTGTAAAATAATCATGTGCATTTCAAAGATTAAGAATAAAACATTCAGTACCTGCATTTAAAAAAAAACAAAACAAGATCCCTGGAGAAGTCCCTGTGGTAATCTGAAAACCCCAAAGAGAGGCAGATTTATTCTTATAAAATAAATTACATTTGGATGCATTGAATCGAAGTCTGCTGACCGGCTGAATCTCTGGTTAACAAGTCAGCTGAAGGTCATGGTGGTTATCTTTGTCATCTTTTGTTGTTTTGCCTTTTTGTTGTCCTGTTGTGTCTCTTTGAGGTCATTTTGGATCTCTATAGTCTTTTTCTATGTCCCTGTGGTTATTTTGTGTGTCATAGTCTTTGTGGGTCTTTTGAAGTGTCTTTGTGATTCTTTGGTGTCATTTTCAGTCTCTTTGTGCTATTATTGTATTTCATTGTGGTTGTTTTGTGTCTCATTTGAGTCTTTGTGTATCTTTTTGAAGTGTTTTTGTGAGTCTTGGAAGTCATTTTGTGTCTCTTTGTGCTATTTTTGTATGTCATAGAGGGTTTTTGTGAGTCTTTCAAGTCATTTTGTGTCTCTTCATGGTCCTTTTGTGTATCTTTGAGACGTTTTTGCGTTTCTTGCCATTTTCTGTTCTCTCGGATAATATAATCTCTCTTTATAGTCATTTTGTGTCTCGTTGTGGTCCTTTTGTGTGTCATTGTGGTAATATTGCATATCTTAGTTGTCAGTTTGCGACTTTGCTTGGCCTTTTTATATCTAACGTTTGTTGTTCACGTCTTTGTAGTTATTTTGTGACTCCCCGCAGTCATTTTAAGTCTCTTCCTGATCGGTGCGTGTCTCTTTTTAGTGACATTGTGCTGTTGAAGGCGCTGAGGCCTGTTCAGTAAGCATGAATTAATACAAATCATACAGAGTGTCTGTAAATCAAACCTCTGGATCTTCTCTGCAAAAGCTGTTGTCTTTTTAGAATACCAATACAATTATTTTCTCACAGTAAATCAGCAATAACATGAAATATTTTCCATATTAAGCCCTGAGTCCGTCTCGTATTGTTGAGCGTTAATGCCGGGATGTAAGAAGATTTGGATGATCTGGGATTAAATCCAGGATCAACTTTTTTTCCCCCAGACACATATGTTTAATCTTTTTCAGACATCGCTTCCTGACATTAAATACCTTTTGGCTTTTTGTTAACCCCACAGTAAAGCAGAGTTTAGTATTCGGCGCTACATTGTCTGGTTGCGTCCGATAGAATCCAGATGTTTCTCCAGCACACAAACACAGGAGCAGTGTGTGTGTGTACCGCTCCATCAGACACCTGTATTTCCTCTCATTGTGAGTTCAACATCAGGATCCAGATGCAGAGGAGCCCCCCTCCCCCCCGCTGTGTTTCCCTGCCTCCCTCTCCAGTTTCTCCCTCAGTTTGTTGAAGGCCGGCCTCCTGCGGGGCTCCTGCTCCCAGCACAGCCTCATCAGGGAGTACAGGGCGGGGGGGCAGTCCTCCGGAGCCTCCATGCGATATCCTCCCTCCACCGTATCCTTCACCTCCTTCAGAGACTGCAGGGACAACCAGAGAGAGGAGGGTATTAATAAAAGTCACATATTATGCAAAATCCACTTTCTCATGTCTCTTCTACATCAACATGTGTCCCCTCTGTGTAAAGAGATTCTGAAAGTTTCAGGAAAAAAGATTCTCTCTCTTTTTGTCCTGATCCATTTAAATAAAAACCTGTCTGAAAATGAGCTGATCAGATTTTGGCCACTTTATGATGTCATAACGATGTGTTGGCTTGTGTAACCATTAGCCAATCACCAACCAAGGTAACCCCCCCCCCCACCTTATCACCTGAATCTCCTCCTAGAGCACCATTGTGTTCTTTTTAACCAAATATCTCTCATGCCCCTTTCACACCGGCGCTTTTCCAGCTCCTGCTCGGAGCTGGAGCTGGAAAAGCGCCGGTTTTTCCTGTTCACACCGCAGCGGCGGCGCGTCATAGCTCCGGAATGCGGTTCACTTCCAGCTCCAAAAAATTGTCGGTCCAGAGGCAAGAGCTTCGGAGCTATGACGCGGCGTCGCTTACGTCTCTCTTACGTCGAGGCGTGCAGGAAACCTTACTTTGACCATCCGTTCGCTGTTATTGATCATTGTGGAGAGCAGGCAGACGTTTTGTTTGTTATTATAGCAGCTATCGGATGGAATTAATACATGGGCTGTACAGGTTGTCATGTCCGACTATCACAAGTAGAATCATAATGAAAAATACGCCGGTAAAAAGTGCCTGTAGAAAACGGCTTAGCAAGTAGTCAGTTTAGCTTCGGTTGCTATGCTAACATCACCCATGTTATACCAGAGAAACTTTCATAACAGCGTAGTGATGCCAAACAGCGTCAATTCAGACTGACACACATTCACTTAAGGGGAACTGGGGATATGTATCAGCTGCTTGTGTGACAGTCAGACAGTGAATACTTTAGAGCCGTGTGAGCTAACCCGGAGCTAACGGGAGAATAAACTCCCGTGGAAGAGCAGCCAGCACTGCAGCGGTCGGTAAATGCCGCTGAAACACATTAATAAACAATGAACCACGGCACTCTGGAGAAAAGTATAAGGTTGGAGAAGTCGTTATTTAATTTAATCTGGCTTCGTATGATTAAAAGCAACACGATCATCGACCCGACGCAGTCCCCGGCCCGTCGTTGTTGTGGGAGAAAATCAGCGACGTAAACTGTGACGTCATGACGCAGCAGCGGCAGCTCTGGGCGGTGTGAACAGAGCGGGAGCTGAAAAGGGAAACCGGAGCTGAACCAGAAAAGCTCTCGCTAGGAGCTAGAAAGGGAAAAGCGCTGGTGTGAAAGCCGCATCAGAGGGGCGTGGGGAGGGGCTCCTTATTTTCATCTAAAGTAACAGACAGAGAATCAGCACTTTTGAAACAGGGCTGAAACAGAGGGGATTATGGGATACTGCAATGATCTGGTTGGTGTTTGGAGCCAAACACTTCAGAGACATGTTTTGTATATATCTGAGACCTATAATATATTGATGAAAAACAGTATAATAGGGGACCTTTAAAGTGGACCTATCATGCTATATTTTAAAAATATATTGTAGGGCCATACCTATATAAAACATGTCTGTGAAGTTTTTTTTTCAAAATACCAAACAGATCCCCCATTGTAGCCATGCCTCATACTGCTCAAACCCCTCTTTTGCAGCCCTGTTAGAGAAACGCGGATCTTGGTTCCTTAGCTTGAAAAAAAAGAAAGAAGAGGAGGCGGAGCTAATGCCTGATCAGAATTCTACCGGAGATAAAGTTAAATTCTGCTGTGATAAAACGCCATCCTGTTCTAAACCACATCAAGGATTATTTCTGAAATAGTATGGAGCTCAAATGCTTTTTCTCTTGCAGGTTTATCACAAGGTGAGTTCCTTTTTTTATTTCCTGCTTTTTAAACACATGTGCTCTCCAGTACAGGTTAGCTCTGAGTGTTAGCAAGGCTTGCTAATGTAAACAAAGACGAGATTACGTCCAAAACACGTCAGGCATTGTTTCTGATAGCAACTTTCTGTGGGTCCGCCGACGTCAGAGCGGATGGACATGTCAGATCGGATGGAAATCTGTATCCGCTCGTTGTACACCTGTTTTTAAAAGATTTGGGTATGGAGGAAAAGAGAGAGGGTTTTATTTTCTGACGCTGCGTGAGTTCCCCGACGCACCGGGGACACATATTTATGTATAAAAGACATCACAAAGTGCATTTAGCATGATAGGTCCACTTTAATGTAAAAACATTTTACTAAGGTCCTCAGCAGCAGGCTTTTTAAAGGGGCCCTATTGTGTTTTCTCTGGTGTTCCCTCTCCTTTAGTGTGTTCTATAGGTTTGTGTGCATGTAAATGGTCTGCAAAGGCTAAAACCCCTGTGTTCCCTCCAGAGGGAGTTTCTTAAACGTTGGTATTTTGTACTTATACTCAAAGTACAAGATCTGAGTAATTCTTCCACCTCTGTCCATTTTTGACACTCTGCAAACACACACACACACACACACACACACACACACACACACACACACACACACACACACACACACACACACACACACACACACACACACACACACACACACACACACACACACACACACACACACACACACACACACACACACACACACACACACACACACACACACACACACACACACACACACACACACACACACACACACACACACACACACACACACACACACACACACACACACACACACACACACACGGCGTAGAGTTTCATGATTGAGATGAACTTGACCCCAATGAATCAACCTGAATGTCTGCTAGCATTGGTTTATAATTAGGAGCTAATCATGTGCATTTAAAAGCACACCGCCTGACGTAAAGAGGAAGAGAGACGCTAAGTCGCCCAGCCTGATCCGCTCACCTGAGGATTACCTGAGCAGCTAATGTGAGGAACTCGTCTCTGTTTAAGTAGTTCCATCTCTGATTTACTTTATGATGCACAGTTAGGAGGTTACAATTAGTTACCTGCAAATGTAATCAGTTACCTAATCTGTGTATCACAATATTAAAGTAACCTGATTACTAACATCGTAATCCCCCATTTTGCAATTGTGAGCAATTTGTCCTTTTTGAGGGCCCTGTAAGGGAATACAAGTACTACTTTTTTCTGTATCCTGTTACATGTAATCTATTACTCCTCAAGCCTGGTTAAATGTGACGTCAACCTCTGCGCATATGTAGGACACAGTTAAGAAGAAGTTCTCTCTCCACAGTTTAAAGAGTAGATTAGTAAGAACAAAAAGATTATGTCTACGTCGTCGCATTACAATGTGCATTAAAGCTGCGCTGACGTACTCTGCTGCTCAGACACAGTAAATCCAGGTGACCAAGGTCTGGAAGCTTTCCACTGACACACAGATCATGAATCTCAACATGACTTGGTAGAAGAGTTAAGTTTGGAAAGTCAGGGAAGATGTTTTCGTCATAGATTCAAAGTGTTTCTTTTCATATGCACAGTCACTACAATGAGCAATGATACACATTGAAACTACTATAGAGAATCCACCAGGAGTAAGGAAAAAAAAAATAATAATTATAATGATAGTAAGAAAACAAAGGTATATGTTCAAGTAAACCATGTACTGTTGCAAGACCATGTACAACCGGGAGGCGTGTGGTGCAGTGGGTTGTGCGTTGGTGTTCAGATCAGGGGGTCACAGGTTCAAACCCCACTGCAGTCAGCATGTCGTTGTGTCCCTGGGCAAGACACTTCACCCCAAATTGCTCCTGTGGGGATTGCCCACGGTATTGAGTATAAGTCGCTTTGGATAAAAGCGTCTAACAAGTGAGAAGTAATGTACGTGCATGCGGTTAAACTACTTTTTAAATATGTGAATTCATTAAATCAACACTGTTCACAACACTGTTCACAACACACACACATACCATCTTAGGATAAGGTTGCCGACCGTAGGAGAAGATCTCCCACAGGAGAACGCCGTAGCTCCATACATCCGACTTTGTTGAGAATTTCTGCAGGATGGGAGAAAAATGTTTAAAACATCTGCTGTTCCCTTCAGTGTTTACTTCCTGTCTGTCTTCTTCTGCTGTTCCCTTTAGTGTTTACTTCCTGTCTGTCTTCTTCTGCTGTTCCCTTTAGTGTTTACTTCCTGTCTGTCTTCTTCTGCTGTTCCCTTTAGTGTTTACTTCCTGTCTGTCTTCTGCTGCTGTTCCCTTTAGTGTTTACTTCCTGTCTGTCTTCTCTGCTGTTCCCTTTGGTGTTTACTTCCTGTCTGTCTTCTCTGCTGTTCCCTTTAGTGTTTACTTCCTGTCTGTCTTCTTCTGCTGTTCCCTTTAGTGTTTACTTCCTGTCTGTCTTCTCTGCTGTTCCCTTTGGTGTTTACTTCCTGTCTGTCTTCTCTGCTGTTCCCTTTAGTGTTTACTTCCTGTCTGTCTTCTTCTGCTGTTCCCTTTGGTGTTTACTTCCTGTCTGTCTTCTCTGCTGTTCCCTTTAGTGTTTACTTCCTGTCTGTCTTCTTCTGCTGTTCCCTTTAGTGTTTACTTCCTGTCTGTCTTCTCTGCTGTTCCCTTCAGTGTTTACTTCCTGTCTGTCTTCTCTGCTGTTCCCTTTAGTGTTTACTTCCTGTCTGTCTTCTTCTGCTGTTCCCTTTAGTGTTTACTTCCTGTCTGTCTTCTTCTGCTGTTCCCTTTAGTGTTTACTTCCTGTCTGTCTTCTTCTGCTGTTCCCTTCAGTGTTTACTTCCTGTCTGTCTTCTCTGCTGTTCCCTTCAGTGTTTACTTCCTGTCTGTCTTCTTCTGCTGTTCCCTTTAGTGTTTACTTCCTGTCTGTCTTGTTCTGCTGTTCCCTTTAGTGTTTACTTCCTGTCTGTCTTCTTCTGCTGTTCCCTTCAGTGTTTACTTCCTGTCTGTCTTCTCTGCTGTTCCCTTTAGTGTTTACTTCCTGTCTGTCTTCTTCTGCTGTTCCCTTTAGTGTTTACTTCCTGTCTGTCTTCTTCTGCTGTTCCCTTCAGTGTTTACTTCCTGTCTGTCTTCTCTGCTGTTCCCTTTAGTGTTTACTTCCTGTCTGTCTTCTTCTGCTGTTCCCTTTAGTGTTTACTTCCTGTCTGTCTTCTTCTGTTGTTCCCTTCAGTGTTTACTTCTTGTCTGTCTTCTCTGCTGTTCCCTTCAGTGTTTACTTCCTGTCTGTCTTCTCTGCTGTTCCCTTTAGTGTTTACTTCCTGTCTGTCTTCTTCTGCTGTTCCCTTTAGTGTTTACTTCCTGTCTGTCTTCTTCTGCTGTTCCCTTTAGTGTTTACTTCCTGTCTGTCTTTTTCTGCTGTTCCCTTTAGTGTTTACTTCCTGTCTGTCTTCTTCTGCTGTTCCCTTTAGTGTTTACTTCCTGTCTGTCTTCTGCTGCTGGCGTTGCTTCACACCAACCTCTTTCTTCAGAGCCTCGGGCGCCGTCCATTTGACGGGCAGTTTGGCGTTATCGGACTTGGCCTTGGAGACCACCTTCGTCAGCCCGAAGTCGCTGACTTTAGCCACGCAGTCGTCAGAAACCAGGACGTTACGAGCCGCCAAATCTCTGTGGATCAACTTCTTGGACTCCAGGTACTCCATCCCCTCACACACATCCCTGTATACACACACACACACACATGCAAACACACACACACACACACACACACACACACACACACACACACACACACACACACACACACACACACACACACACACACACACACACACACACACACACACACACACACACACACACACACACACACACACACACACACACACACACACACACACACACACACACACACACACACACACACACACACACACACACACACACAATCAGAATGACTTTTTATTTTTTTAAGCCTGAGATTAATAAAGGATTTGTGATTCACATACAAGGAATTTGCTAAGGTGTGTAATAGTACATCAAAAAGATAAACACAGTATTTTTCACACAGACATACATATAGATGTTTTCTTGTGTGCACCCCTGCTGGTCCTATCCTGTGTTTAACTCTTATCTAATTTTTTATCTTTTTTTATTGTATTTCATGTTATTTTAGCATATCTTATCGAATGCTATATTACTTTATGTTATCTTATTTGATGTTATCTTTTATTATCTTATGCTATCTTATCTGTCCTATCCTGTGGTATACTCTTATTTCATTTTATTTCATTTCATTTTATCTTAGGTAAAGACTTTCAAGGTCAGATAAAACAATTAAAGTTAGTCTTGACTGCAAACTCTGTTGGGTTTCTTAAAATCATATTTAATTTAATTTAATTTAAATTGTTTGTAATGTATTTTTATTTCCTACTTTCTATTTTTTCCCCCCCATGTTTTAGTTAATTTTAAAGTGTTCTGTTTTGACATGAAAGCACGAAAAGTTCATTATTATATTATTGTTATTTTATTTATTTAGGTCTGAACTCACAGAGCGAAGTGCAGCAGCTGAACTGAGTTCACCACCGATCGTCCTCGAGTCCTCAGGAAGTTCACAAGGTTCCCCTGCAACACAAAACACACAGTATATTACTTTCATAAGACTCTATCAAATACATTCTCAGTTAGTGTTTTCATAAATATTCTTGCATTTATTCCGGCATGACTGGGAGTAATACTCGATTCTGATTGGTCAACTTGAACATTCCAGAGGTCTGTTATTCTTTGCTAACAGACACACTCAACAATAAAGCCTATTCATGTATTTTTTCTTTTAATGTTTCTTTTATTATCTTTCCTTTTTAATGACTGTTTTTAAATGCCTTTGTCTGAATGTCTTCCATTTTTGTAAAGCACTTTGAATTGCCTTGTGTTGAAAGGTGCTATATAAATAAACTTGCCTTGCCTTGCCTTGCCTTGCCTTGCCTTGCCTTGAATCTTTGAAATAGTACAAATGGGATATCTTATGGTTTGCAAACATCTTATGCCGGGCTAAACAAGTTATTCAGTGCTGTAAAATGCCACTTAATGTCAGATGTGACCTTATGTGAATCATACAACAAGCTCCTGGATTTGGTTCTAATACCATTAAGAGGAGAGGAAGTCCAATTCTGACTCGTTAAAGCTGCGAGTCAGCGGCGGATCACAGCGGCTGTCAGGGGTTAGGGTTAGGGTTAATTTCATAATGTCCCATTGGAGAAAACTGACTTAAACTAATCTTTGGATTGTCATCACCCAAATCTGTGTGCCCCCTGTAATGCCAACTCCGTCCCAACTCATTAAGACCATTTTAAGACCTTGTTTGAAATGTATGTTCCATCATTTATTGTCTATCATTCAAGTTTACTCTGAAATTCAGAAAGAAAAACAACATTTGTAAATTAATAAACCACCAATCTCTTTTTTTATCTGACTGGTTGTACATTTGTAGTAAAAAAAAGATGTGTTCATGCGGTGAGTCAGGTTTTGTTCAACATATAGATTTAGTTTTTTATTAAATTATTCCGAAATTATCCTTAATTGTCTCACTTCCTCCTAGATCCATTTAACACTAATATATTAATGTATGATAGTCGTTAAAACATAGCTAGCTTATGCTTTAGCTTATGCTAGTGGATTGAGCTGCATTTGCAGTGGAAAGCTAGCGACAAACGAAACTTAGTGTGATTGTGAGCATTATGACCAACAGGCACATAAAATGAAATGCAGTTTTTTTGTAGTAGTTTTATCCTTCAGCCTTTTAACGGAGATTGTATTTCCTGCTTCATTGTGGGTTGTATGAAGGTTTCAATACTCATTCACTTTTTACCTTTTTTTTGTTACTTGTAGTTATTATAATCTGTTTTTATTTTAAGTACCGCTGATACATGCGTTCACTGACCTTAGCCATGAGCTCTGTGACGATGTGAAGCCCTTTGTGGAGCATCACCCCCAACAGGCGCACCAGGTTCTTATGCTGCAGCTTCCTGGAGGAGTGAATCAATATTTACAATAAAACACAGTTTAAATGTCACTTAATTTCAACAAATATAACACTCAGTATAATCTGGTGTTTGCACAATATGCAGTGGAGGGAATTATATTTCCTTAAGTATTGTACTTGTGAAATAAAAAAGTCATGGTGTTGGTGTAATAAAAACGTTTTAATAAGTTTACTTGAGTATTTCCATTTTAAGCTACTTTGTACTTCTACTCCACTACAATTCAGAGGTAAATGGTGTACTTTTAATCCACTACATTCATTTACAGTAATACCTTTAGTTACTTTGCAGATTTGGATTAATTATGTGAAATATAATCAACACTTAAATCAGATTTTCACTTGTTAAAGAGTATTTCTAGACTATGGTACTTCTACTTTTACTCAAGTACAAGATCTGAGCACTTCTACTTTTACTCAAGTACCAGATCTGAGTACTTCTTCCATCGCTGATTAAAACCTCTCCAGACTCACGTCATGACGGTGGTTTCCTGCAGGAAGGCCTGAGCCGTCACGTCACATTTGATGGTCTTTACCGCCACCTGCTGGCCCAAATACTCTCCTTCATACACAGCTGCAGGGAAAACACACATAGCATCAACATCTGCACTGACACTGAAACACATGGATGGGCTTTAATGTCTCTAAATGAGGGAATATACTTACAGATAATACAAATTATATATATATAAAAATAGACGCAAAATTACAAAACATGACTATTCAAGGTCATATTCTGTTCATTTTCAGGATCATATAAGTATTTAGAGGCTCTAGTGACACATGTTTCCATGCTTCAATGTTCAAAATGCTTTTTAAAATTCAAATTGAATGCTCACCTCCAAACTCCCCTTCTCCAATATTTTCTCCCAGTTTGAGCTTCGTAATGTCCAGCAGCCATCCGCCTGCAGAGAGACACATGTACACACTTTCACATGCGTTTATAAATAATAATAATAATAATATTTTATCTGTATAAATAAACACCAAACGTACTTTTGGACAGCTCCAGTTCAGCGGACTTGGTTCCGTGTTTTTGTTTTGGCTTCAGGAGAGTCGTGGCGATCGAGCCTTTGTTCCTCGAGTAAAACTGAACACATGGAAACCGTATTATAGCAGAGTTTTAAAATATAAATGTACAATATCTGTAATTTGTCATTGTAATTTTTACTGTACAGAGGTGGGACAAGTACTGTGATCCTAGAGTGTAGAAATGCTCTGTTACAGTAAAACTCCTGCATTCAGAATGTTACTCAAGTAGAAGTACAAAAGAATTATCATCAAAATATACTTAAAGTACCAAAAGTAAAAGTAGTCATTGTGCAGATTGGTCCATTTCAGAATAATATATATGATATGTTTTATAATTATTGATGAATTAAAGTGTTATCAAAGCTGGTAAAGGTGCAGCTAGTTTGAATGACTTTGTATACTGCAGGGTAGCTTGTGAATTTACTCCAGGTGGAACTAAAGTCTGATTTAAGAGCTGATTATATTTCACATCATTCATCCACATCTGTAAAGTAACTAAAGGTATTAAATACATGTAGTGAAAAGTAGCAGAAAATAGAAATACTTCTACTCCAGTACGTCTCAGAGTCAAGTCTTTTTTGTAACTCTTTTTTTAAATGTTACTTTTGCAGACTAGTATACATTATACAGAATTAAATTAATGGTTATTCAATATAATAAGATATCAGCATATTAAGTCCTTAAAATTACAACCTTAAAGAGATGCATACATGAATGCATGGATGTATAATCCAACGATAAAATGTATATAAAAACATACATCATATTATTCTGACACAATGAGTACTTTTAGTTTTGATGCTCCAGTGATATAATATGTACTATTATTGATTTTTAAGAACATAAAACTGCATAAAGTGTTGGTACTTTTAGTGTAATTTGACGCCCACTTTACCACCATCGTCTGACAGCAGTGGTAAAAATAACCTTCGTGTGTCACACTGAAACAAGGACAGGAAAACACACAAAGCCCTTTTATGGTTCCTCTGTTTCTGTGTCAGGGGTCAGTCAATGTGTTGCAGACTTATCAGCGAGCTACAGGAAACAGAGGAGGAATATTTGGGCTGAATCATGCAGACAGCTGAAGATAAAAAGCCAGGCTCGGATGCGTCATTCTGTTTATTAGTAATTTACAGGAATGGGAGGGTTACTTTAAAAATGTAACATGTTACAATGATTGGTTAAACATGTAAGCAGTCTAAGTATCACAATATAAAAGTAACCTTATGACCTTCTGTTGCTTTTGGATGATATCAAAATGATTTCCTTTAGACCCAGGGGAAATAACAATAATTTACCATACATTATAAACCTTATGCAGTATCAGAATCATATCTTTTAGTTTAGTAAAACTCAGTGTAGAAATACAAAAGTACTGTCATCAAAATCTAAGTTAAAGAGTCCTCTCCTGCTGATGTTCAGGTGTATATCAGTATGTAGTGTCTCTACTTTAAAGAGTCCTCTCCTGCTGATGTTCAGGTGTATATCAGTATGTAGTGTCTCTACTTTAAAGAGTCCTCTCCCGCTGATGTTCAGGTGTATATCAGTATGTAGTGTCTCTACTTTAAAGAGTCCTCTCCTGCTGATGTTCAGGTGTATATCAGTATGTAGTGTCCCTACTTTAAAGAGTCCTCTCCTGCTGATGTTCAGGTGTATATCAGTATGTAGTGTCTCTACTTTAAAGAGTCCCCTCCTGCTGATGTTCAGGTGTATATCAGTATGTAGTGTCTCTACTTTAAAGAGTCCCCTCCTGCTGATGTTCAGGTTTATATCTGTATGTGAAATGCTCCTCTCGAGCTCTGTTCCTAAATATCTATAGACCACCCAAATACTGTGCAAGCTTTTTTGATGACTTTACTGAACTGCTGTCTATAGTGTGTATTGACTTTGACCGTCTAGTCATTGTTGGTGATTTTAACATCGATGTTGACAACCCCCAGGACAGAGGGGCTAAAGAACTGTTTTGTGTTCTTGATAACTATGGACTGACTCAGCATGTGACGGAGCCCACGCACAATAAGGGGCACACTCTGGACTTAATTATCTCAAAGGGTCTGAATATCTCTGAGGTTGTGGTGACTGTGGTTTTCTTTGAGAGCTCTATTTCTGTTCACAAACATTTTCAAAAAGAGGTAACCACAAAGCGATATTTAACTGAAAATACTAGGGAAATGTTTACTCAGAATTTTTCTTCCACACTTGCCCCTACTAACATCTCAGTAAATGAGCTAGTTAGATCATTTTCATTCAAACATTAAAAATGTTATAGAATTGCTCCAACTAAGGTAAAGGAAGTGATTGGCAAGAAAATATCTCCATGGAGAAAGGCCATGACCGTGAGAACAGAAAAAAGAGAGTGTCGAAAAGCTGAACGTAGGTGGCGAAAAACAAATCTCCAGGTTCACTTTGAAATCTATAAAGAGAGACTTGGCCTTTATAATTTGGAATTGAAAAACGCACGACAGTCTTTCTTCTCTGACATCATTACCAAAAACAAAAACAACGCACGTGCCTTGTTTGCTACCGTCGACAGACTAACAAACCCCCCAGTGTCAGTAGCCTCTGAATTTCTATCCACCAGGGCATGCAATGATTTTGCCTCCTTCTTCACTGACAAAATTCAGAAAATCAGACAAGCAGTCAGTGTCTCTGCATCAGGTACAGCAAATGTGTTGTCCCTGTGTCCACCTAAAATCAATTCAAACACCATGACACAATTCCATCAGATTAATGATAAAAACCTAGAGGACATTATTCAACTTCTGAAATCCTCCTCCTGCTGCCTTGATATTATTCCAACAGGATTTTTCAAAGATGTTTTCCGTTGCATGGCCTCAGATCTACTTCATATAGTAAACAAGTCTCTTCACTCAGGTATTTTTCCACAGGCCCTGAAAACTGCAGTCATTAAACCGCTCTTAAAAAAGAATATTCTAGATGCTTCAGTAATGAACAATTACAGGCCCATATCAAACCTGCCATTTCTAGGTAAAATCATTGAAAAAGTTGTTTTTCAACAGTTGAGTAATTTCTTGCATTTAAATAACTCTTTGGATGTGTTCCAGTCAGGCTTTCGTCCAAACCACAGCACTGAGACTGCTCTTGTAAAGGTCTTCAATGACATCCACTTAAACACAGACAGTGGCAGAACTTCAGTGTTAGTATTATTAGATCTCAGTGCTGCGTTTGACACTGTTGACCACAACATATTACTAGACCGACTAGAAAACTGGGTGGGACTTTCGGAAACAGTTCTAAATTGGTTTGAATCCTACTTAAAGGACATAAAAAACTTTGTTTCTAGAGGTAAATACACATCTGCGTTGACAAATATGACATGTGGGGTACCTCAAGGCTCCATCTTGGGGCCTCTTCTCTTTAACATCTACATGCTACCACTGGCTCAGATAATGAAAAACAACAACATAAGTTACCATAGCTATGCGGATGACACACACATTTACATAACCATTTCACCAGGAGATTATGCTCCAATTCAAACACTGAGTAAGTGCATTGAACAAATCAATGACTGGATGTGTCAGAACTTTCTCCAATTAAACAAAGATAAAACTGAGGTAATGGTTTTTGGAGCCAAGGCAGAATGTATAAAAGTTAGCGCTGAGCTTCAGTCTGCAATGTTCAAAACAACAGATAAAGCCAGAAATCTAGGTGTAGTCATGGACTCTGACCTGAGTTTCAACAGTCACATTAAAACAGTTACTAAATCAGCCGACTATCACCTAAAGAACATATCTAGGATTAAAAGACTAATGTCACAGCAGGATTTGGAAAAACTTGTCCATGCTTTTATCTTCAGTAGACTGGACTACTGTAATGGTGTCTTTACAGGTCTCACTAAAAAAGCTATTAGAAAGCTCCGTCTGGACTATTGCAAACATCCTCAACAAACTTCAATACATCCAGAACTCCGCCGCACGTCCACTCACCCACACCCGAATCCGTGAACACATTACACCCGTCCTCATCAAGCTCCACTGGCTCCCCATCTCCCAGAGAATCCAGTACAAAATCCTCCTAATGACATACAAAGCCCTCCATAACCTGGCCCCATCCTACTTGACTGACCTCCTCCACAGACACACTCCCACTCGCTCCCTCCGCTCTGCTACTGCCAACCTCCTGTCCCTCCCCACCCGGACCAACCTCAAGTCCTGGGGCGGCAGAGCCTTCTCCGTTGCTGCACCCACCCTCTGGAACTCACTACCCCAATCCATCAGAGATTCTTCCTCCCTCACAGCATTCAAAATATCACTCAAAACCCACCTGTTCAACACTGCATTCAACCACTGACCCCCCCCCCCCCCCCCCCCCTATTTTTTGTTTTGTTTATCTCTTTTTGTATTTTTTTTTTTTTTTTTTTAAGTCTCTTTCAAAGCGTCTTTGAGTTTCCTGAAAAGCGCTATACAAGTCCCATGTATTATTATTATTATTATTATTATTATTATTATTATTATTATTATTATTAGCCGGCCCGGCTAAAATAACTGGATGGCCTACCTGCCTGTCAGCCTTCCATCTGTGCACAAACTTATCTCGTGCCCTCATTGGTCATGTGCGCGTTCGTGTGTGTTGGAGGAGGGGCTCTGTAAGGAAGTGGCAGATTTTTTCCGGTTGTGTATTTTCAAATTCTAGGGCACTCGAGCTGGTTTCTTCAAAATGACATACAGTACCCGCACCTTTAATAGCTTGCAAATAATGTTTTATCAATCTGCTTCTGCAAAGTAACTAAAGCTCTAAAAATGAAGTGAAGTAAGTATTTGCCTTCAAAATATACAAAGCATGGTAGAAGTGAGTATAAAAGTGAAGCACTATAATAAATGTACCTAGAAACTGTCCACCTCTCACGTCAGTACACTGACAAATACTTCAATTATTAAACAGAGCATCAAGAAGAAACGTCTATTTCTGTCTTCTCGTCACTAGTTGTGGTAGAAGTGTGAATTTTAGAGTGAATATCAGCGGTGCTTGGGCATTTCCTGTGTTGTCTGAACAATTACAAATATAGAGAAAATGTGAAAGGAAACGCAACACATGACAGGTTTCAATTAAAAAAACAACTCTCAGACACTATTTGCTGTGAATTTTGTATATTTTATAACCTTTTCTCATTATTTGGTATATTTAGCTAATTCCAATTAACCCTTTTATTGTTTTATTTAGCTTCTTAAAAATGATATCCAGTTTTCGTGTTGTATAGTTTTAGCATGATATCGTTAAGGATTGTGTGCTTGCTGCAGCTTTATTTACTTTTCCCTATATAGAATTACCTCGATCATGTCGATGAGGTTGTAGAAGAACTGTGTGTTGTCGATGGTCAGCTTGTTGTCCTGGTATATGACTCGGTAGTGGACAACGTCTCTGGAGACACTCACACACAGGACGTAGTCTCCTGGGTGGCGGATGGACTCTCGGACCAGAAACAGCCCGTCCTCTGCCGGCTGCAGCTTACAAACCGCCTCTGGACCCGAAATCTTCCCGTGGAACCAACTAGAGACAGAAAAACACCAAATGCATGAAGTGTGGACGAGAAAAATACCATAATAGGATGACAGAGTGGTTCAATGATAACGTATTTCTGTAGTGGACCCTGAAGGCAGCATCTCCCTGGTTCAATTGGATTTCTCCATTTGATTTTTGATTATTGCAGAAAATAATCAAACAAACGTTTAGGATTCTAACACGTTTTGATTAGCAGGATAATCTCCACATATTAACACCACTTTATCATTAGAAGCTAACTTTAGGCTATAAAGGAACACATGACTTCACATCACAACCGCTAAGCTAAAGGTGGCTAATGTTGAGCTATAAAGGAACTACAGCACGGTCACATGACTTCACATCACCACCGCTAAGCTAAAGGCGGCTAATGTTGGGCTATAAAGGAACTACAGCACGGTCACATGACATCATGTCACCACCGCTAAGCTAAAGGCGGCTGATGTTGGGCTATACATGAACTACAGCACGGTCACATGACTTCACGTCACCACCGCTAAGCTGAAGTTGGCTTATGTTGGGCTTTCAAATTCACCAAAACAAAACGTTTGAAAAACAATGGTAAAAGTAAAAATAAATTAGTGAGTGAAAAATCATGAAATCTGAATTACTCTAATATGTTTTAGACGATATTTTTCTGACGGACAGGAGGTGAGAACATGTGAGTAGTTTTCACGTGGGGAGAAGATGGTGTTTGTTTGTACATTGTTCTCACACTGTGTGGTCACAAGATGTTGAAATATTGAGTAAGGCAGAAGCTAAAGTTAGAAGCTAAAGAGCGTCAGAGCGTCAGAGCCACAGACACACTGCGGCTGTTCACTGTGAGTAAACAAGGCTGCATCCTACTCATAACACACAGTCAGAACTTTAAAGTATAATAAAATAGATATAAATTATATAAAATAATATTAATAATACTAGTCATAATAATATAGATATAATAATACAAATATACAAATGAAATAAGTTGGGTAATAATAATAATAACATCAAATAAATATAATAATACAAATATATTTAAAAAAAATAATAATCCCAATAACTCTAAAAATATATAAAATATAATAAGACAAATTTAAAATGAAATTGTTATTATTCATTATAATAATAATTAAATATTATACATAAATTCATAACATATAATGGAAAATAAAAACGGAATAATTCTTATTAAAAAATAAAGTTTTAAATATTTATATAAGAACCCATATTTCCATTATACATCAAATTAATGTAGCATTTAAAGGCCTCTATTACTTGTTTATTCTTTGACCTTTTCTTTCTACTTCAGTGGAGGACATTTAGATTTTTAAGACAGAATCTAAAGAGGTATGTCTCCTCTAATGCCCCTCTATAAATCAACACTCCTTATGAAATTTAAAACAGTGTTTAGCGGAGACGTACGGCATGAAGCTGAGTCCGGGGTCGACTCGCAGAGCTTCTCTCTCACGGACGTTTGTGGAGTTGATGAGTCCTTCCTCTCCGCTGGAGTTGTGTCTGGCTCTGTAGAACCCCTTCTTCTGGAGAGGAGCAACAGAGGTGTTAAATGAAGGAACGTTTAAAAAAAATAAATATATATATATATATATCTGTACGAGTGCAGCTCCTTTTAAAGCAGGCATTACCGTGCTGTTGTGGGTGATGGTGAGGATGTCCCCTTTGTGATAACACAGCTCTTCAGGCTTTGGCTTCCTGTGATCTCCCTTAGCCACACACTGAGTACCAGCAGCCCAGCTCATCTACAGGAGCAGAGGGACATAATAAATACACATTAAATTACAATAGATACATTCAATTAAAGGATTACAATTAAAACATTAAAAAAGTATAATAATAAAATAATAATAATAAAATAATACAATAAAAAGGTTGAATTTAGTTATAATAAAAAAAATGTTAATATGAAAAATGATTAAATAATAATAATAAAACAAATAAAAAAGGTTTAATATGATTAATAATAATAATAATAATAATAATAATAATAATAATAATAATAATAATAATACAGATAATAAACCTTACAAATAAATACATTATTATTATTATTATTTCAAATAACTACTACATTTAATAACAACAATTCACTTTATAAGTACTGAAGGTTTATCATAAAGAACAACAACATTATTGAGAAACTAAAATCTAGTCATACGTACGTTTTTCAAGAGTTATTCAATGTTTAACCCTGCACTGGATTTAATAAAACACCTAAAATAATATTTAAAAAAAATAAGAATAATCAGCTGTGTGCTAACCCACCCCGGTCTCCCCTAATAAATAACAGTACATACCTTTGCCATGAGGCTGGAGGGATGGATGAATATTCACACCTGTCGAGGAGGGAAAATGTCCCTAATTAATAAGAAACCATCAAATAAAGTCCATTAAAGCTTAAAATAGAGTCTTTTGGAGAAGCAGTCCCCAAGGCAATGTGGATCCAGAAACACAATAAGCAGATATGCAGCACAGTGTTCCTGTCGCAGGGATTTGAAGTACATTTGAAAGACTGCTTGTTCAGCCTGGTTCATGTCGGCATGAATGTTTTATTACCTGCAGCTCAGTGGCAGCTGGGGACACACTCCTGCAGAAACCCTGCGGAAAACACCAGCAGAACCCCGGCTCCCGGTGTCAGTCAGCGGTGACAGGGCGCCATTATAACAGCCGATCTTCCCCTCACAACACACAGCATGCTCCACAGCTGATGTTTGTCTGTCACTTCCTCAATGTTTCGGTGGAGGATGATTCATATTTCATGACGCCACGGCCATGACTGACTCGTGACTCCTGCTCCCAAAAACCCCTGAGAATTGTATCAAATGCATCATTTTGTATTCACATTCACACAACAGAAGTTAAATCACAAGTTTCTACCATTTGTCTTAAAAAATATCGGTAGCCTATATATTTTTTGATTAGCGTTTTTTTTGCATAAATATTGTCTTATTTATGTATTATTTTTATTGTTTTATCATATTTATTAATGTTGTCTTATGCATGTATATCTTTTACCGAGTTGTTCATCTGTTGTCAATTTTTTTGTTATTATATTTTTGTTATTATATTTTATTTATTCTCTTATTAATCAGTGTTGGAGAGAAACTAAGTACATTTATTCTAGTACTGTACTCAGGGGCGGACTGGGACTAAAATTCAGCCCTGGAAACTGACCCAGTCCGGCCACATGAAATGTCAAATGTTAGAAATCCGCTGTTTATTATTTAAAGTTTTACGTCCGATTCGCTCTTTTTTTCCTCTCTGTACACAGCTCCAGTTTGGGCATTGGCCTGTCATCAGATTTCATTTTGAGTTGCTGCTGTAGTAGCGGAAGTTTAGTAAAATTATTTTTTATGAAATAATCCAAATCTCCACCCTCCATAATTGCACTTGCTTCAGTTGCTTGCTACTTTTTAAGGGCGGTGATGACAGTTACAGTACGAACTGAAATTGATGCGATTTGGTTGGATTGTGAGGCATGACGTGAGCCTCATCTGATTGGTCAATCCCTCAATTTCTTTTCACCAAGGGAAGCCAATTTCGGCTAGCCTCCTCTCGCAACAGAGTGCAATCTACTGTTTCACCATAACATCTAGAGGGGCGCTGTTTCACTCTTTGTAAAATACTCAATGAGAATGGGGGAGAGATGGGCCGGCAGAATATTTATCGAAACTAAACGAAGTGTTTTTATTTATTTATTAAAATTATAACTACAATCCAAAAAAACAGGGGAAGCCTGGCTTCCCTTGGCCTCCAGGAGAAAACGCCACTGAGTTCAAGGGATAATTCTCACCCACCTCTTGCTCTTGCCCTGCACTTGTATGTGCCAGTTGAGCTGGTTCTTCCACCAGCTCAACTCTGTCCCTCATCATGAACGCAGGAGGCTGGCTGTATATCTGAACTCGCGCCCTCATCATTCTCTTCATCATCTTGCACTTGTTCTAAGCTGCTGCTGATAGTGCTTGTAGCAGCGCTGCTGCCAAAAAGGTCTGTCAATTTGCGACATTTATATGCATCATTTATATGCATTACCTGCGAGTTTATCAGTGGATGTTTGCTGGAACTGTTTGTAAACAGCGTGTTACCTGACGGACACACACAGCGTGACTCCGGTCAGGTAGAGACCGGTCTCAAGTCAGCACCGCTGCAGACTCGCTGTTTGAGGGCTTGATAACCCACTCCCCCTCCACACCGCTCCACACTCGTTGGTTTGGAACAGCACTTAATGTGGCGGACCCTCCGCGCGAGGGCCTTCGTGTGGCCGGTCTTTTTTCTTCTTCGTGTGTGATTATTTGACAGATAAGAACCACACAACTGCATTAGCGGCCGCTGTCGCCCTCTGTCGGCCATAAGCGCAACTTAAATGATGACTTTAAAAAAAAAAAATGTATAGGGCCGGCCGGCCGTCAACGGCCCTTGACGACCGGCCGTTCTGTGGTTCTCCAGATTCTACAGATGGCCAGTCCGCCCCTGACTGTACTGTATTTCACTCATTCGTTTCCTGATACTTGTACAGTAAAACAATTATCTCTCCTATACTTATTTGATAGTTATTTTAAAGACGTATGGTAATAATACAAAATGTAATATATCACATAAATTATCCTTCATTATTTTAGGTTAAGATACAACTTTACTGATGTCTTGGTGAAAATCACAAGCTACATAGCAGTGTAGTAGGCCTACTTGCGTACCATGCTGTGAATGGATCTGGCCCTTCCTACATCCAAGACATGGTTAAACCATACATCCCAGCACGTGCACTCCGCTCTGCATCAGCCAAACGGCTCGCTGCACCCGCACTGCGAGGCGGACCCAAGTTCCCATCTGCAAAAACACGTCGGTTTGTTATCCTGGCTCCAAAATGGTGGATTGACATCAGGACAGCAGAAAGCCTACACATCTTCCGGCGCAGACTGAAAACTCATCTCTTGACTCCACTTCGAGCAATAAAATGACTAACAAAGCACTTACATACTAACAAAGGACTGACTTATCTAAAGCCAGTTGAGTAGCACTTGAAATGTTTTGGCTCTATGAAACCTGATGTACTTATATGATTCTGTTTTCTTCAAGTTTGTATCTTCTTGGTCGAATGCACTTATTGTAAGTCGCTTTGGATAAAAGCGTCAGCTAAATGCAATGTAATGTAATAACAACCCTTTGTCTGAAACCAGAGCCCAGTCTGCTCTGATTGGTTAGCTGTTGTGATTGGTCAATCGCTTAGAGATGTCCCCCGCCCCTTAGCCTATCACGTACAATGTGTTGGAGCGCTAGCCAATAGGAGCATGAGTGTTCCATACTGATGAAAAACCCATACAGTATAACACACAACAGGAATTCAAATATATTTTATTTTGAAACTCTACATCAGAATGACCTGATATTATCTGAGTGAATATTTTGGGTGGCCTTCTATCACCCTGAAGTGAAATGAGTCTTTGATTATGGACAGTTTTTTATTTATTTGTATCTTAAGATAGGGGGGGCAGGAGCTCCAACAAGCCGTTTAGGACAGAGAGTGAATACACATACTATACAGAGATGCTGTATGAGAAACCAATGTGAGTTTGGAAAATTGCATAATTTAAATCTATTCTAGTAGACCTCATCAATGGAAATATGATCAGTAGAAATGGCCATGACATGGGACCTTTAATATGGAGATTTGATCTCAAAACCAGAATTATTGACGACCCTTAGCCTTTTTTATGTGTCAATATAAAAATGTAAAAATAACTCAACAATGACAAATGAATGAATTACGCATGTTTTCTTTCTGTGCATTCTTTGATAAAAATCTACAGCAGGGGTGTCAAACTCAATCTCATCACGGGCCACATTAGCATTATGGTTGCACTCTAAGGGCCGGTTGTAACTTTTAGACTATATAAATATAAATATACCTATACATATATATTAAATAATGTATTATATTATATTATTGGCTCTGCATTGGATTACTATCAGTTCTGGTAATAACTTCATAAATAACTACGTCTAAAAGCAGAAGTCTAGGGCAAATAATTGAAAGAAAATATTCAACAATTACACCAATTGTATTGTATATTATATTCTTTGAAGCTCTTGCGGGCCACATAAAATGAGGTCGCGGGCCGGTTTTGGCCCACGGGCCTTGAGTTTGACACCCCTGTTAGACCAGAAAATTCTGAGGTAAACATGTTGCAACTTTATGTGAATTCCTGGTAAAATTATGTAATTACACCACAGCATGCACCCTCCCACTGTGTGACCATGCCAGGAGTCATAGCATAAACAGAGACAGAGAAGTGAAGCAAAAAGAGGAACTGTATGGGGCAGAAACAGAGATGATGTCAAGTTTGGGTGAATAAAGTTGGGTGTACCTGGGTCTATTATTTACCCTGACACAAAGGACTGCAGAAAACCAATACACATTTTCAAAGGTGATTTATTGTGTCATTCATGTAACATATTGAAATGCTTTGTAACTCACCTGTACCTGTGAAACAAGTTCGACCATTTTTAGCTTTTTCTTTTTTGTCATGTTGCTGATGCAGATCTGTATCTAATGCTACGGTATACGTCCTCTATTCAAAGCAGCTGATATACACCGTGTAATTTCATATTTACATACGCTGCCTCAAACTTCCTCCTGCTGCCTTTTTATACCTGAGTTGCCCGAGTTAAAAGCAGGGAAGAGGCGAGTAGTTAGCTTCAGCGAGATGCATATATATATTACATTTCAAATACATTTCTTGTGTGTATTTGTATTGTCTCTTTTGAGTCAACAAGTCAGTGGAACTTATCACAGTCACAGCAGTAAGACAGACGTTTAATGTATTATAATGTATTTTGTATATGTTATACTCTAGCTAAGATCCAAAGAACATTATTAAAGTATCTTCAGTAAGTGGTCAAACTCTCCAGTTTCATTCCTGTGTACACTCTGAGGGGTTTACTTACATTTCATTCATCACCTGATTTACATTTTAACAAATCCTAAAAACATTGCAAAACATTATAAAAAGACACATCCAAAATCCCCTCTGTAAAACCCTGTGACTCTGATATGTCAACAACAAAGTAAAACGTCATTTGAACCTGGCTTTATCTTTGGAAATGAATACAATTTAGCACGTATTTGTTACCATTATGCCTTTTTACTATATTCAAACATAACCTTTTTGAAAACTTGTAAAACAAAAAAACATATGTAAATAACTGGTGAAGTGTTTAACCTATTCACCTTTAGTGTCTCCTTAAACTTTAAAGGTCCCCTATTATACTGTTTTTCATCAATATATTATAAGTCTCAGATATATACAAAACATGTCTCTGAAGTGTTTGGCTCCAAACACCAAACAGATCATTGCAGCATCCCATAATCCCCTCTGTTTCAGCCCTGTTTCAAAAGTGCTGATTCTCTGTCTGTTACTTTAGATGAAAATAAGGAGCCCCTCCCCACGCCCCTCTGAGAGATATTTGGTTAAAAAGAACACAATGGTGCTCTAGGAGGAGATTCAGGTGATAAGGTGGGGGGGGGGGGGGGGGGTTACCTTGGTTGGTGATTGGCTAATGGTTACACAAGCCAACACATCGTTATGACATCATAAAGTGGCCAAAATCTGATCAGCTCATTTTCAGACAGGTTTTTATATAAATGGGTCAGGACAAAAAGTGAGAGAATATCTTTTCCTGAAACTTTCTGAATCTCTTTCCACAGAGGGGACACATGTTGATGTAGAAGAGACATGAACAAGTGGATTTTGCATAATAGGTGACCTTTAAAGTGTTTTAATGGTCAATAGCTCATTTTTTGTTTATTGATGCTTCTGTCGTGTTTCTGCCACCTCTTAGGGTCGGATCCATCTGTACAATATTCTCTAATGGAGCAGAAGGTGGAGGAGGCTTGTAGTAGCTAGGAGCAAAAGGTGGAGGAGGAAGGTATTCGTAAGGTAACCCATCATCATCATAAGCGAGGGAATATGGAGACTCATTAACAGCGGGCTTCTCTGTGATCTCCTGGTACTCGTTCTCCGTGACTCCACTCCTCTCCTCCACGGGATTCTCCTGCAACGGTCTGCCTATCTTTTGGAATTTCTTCTTCAGGTTCTTCAGGTTGGAGACGACTGACAGCTTTGCTTCCTGAATCTTTGCACACTGCATGGTGGCGCTCATGTGGGGTGGAGTGGCTGTGGGAGCGAGGGGGGTCCCAGGTGCAGAAACTGTTCTGATGCAAGCCTGGTTCTCCCTCGCTGGAGGGAAGGGGCTTCGGGCGGGGACCTCCGGGCGCTGGTGGGACGGAGGGTTGACCGATCTCTTTCTGGTCACAGGCTGGAGATCCTAAACATGAGACAGCATCAACATTGTAAGAAAATAAAAGGGCACCCTATCCACTGAAAACATGCTTCAAATCATAGATGTATCTCTAAAACATTGAGACTAAATAAGCAACACACACAGATTAAAGGGGCCCATTTAGTTTTTTTGGGGTTTTCCCTTTCTCCTGTAGTGTGAAAAATCCCCAAATTCCCTCCAGCTTTTCTCCCACACCTCCCCCCCTGCCTGAAACACCTCCATTGGACTCCTTGGTGCTACAGGACATAAGCCCCGGCCACACGAGGAGGATAACGGTAATGGACCGCAATCGTTATCAAAAAAGTCTTCCGTCCACACGCAACAGGCACCAGAAACGTTTCCGTCCACACGAGACCGCTCGAAACGCTGTAGTACATATGCCAGGCCTGTAAGTGGCGCTGTAGTTCAGCACGAGACCGCTCGAAAGCGCTGAAGACGCTGTAGTACATATGCCAGGCCTGTAAGTGGCGCTGTAGTTCGGCCACAAAATACGGCAAAAGCAGCGGAGAAGACTTCTCGCGCATGCATGGTTGCCATGGTTGCCCTTCTGTTTATTCTCCACGCTGGATTTAGTAGCAGACGTGGGGTTTCGCCGGTCAACATGTCCGTTAAAGTTTCAATCTTCCGGACAAAATTTGAAAAGTGCCGGTCAAAGGTCTTCTTTGTTATTTATTGAGCTTTAAAACAAATGAATAACGACCCTATATAATAATATAAGAATAAAAAACGGAGCCTCTCTTTTCCTCCCCCTCTTCTGAGAGCCCATGCTGATCTCTGAGCAGGAGAGGTGGGGAGAGGCGGGGCTATTGCTTCAACGTTATCAGGAAATGATCGTATAGGCGTAAACACAGAGCCGTTTGCAGATCTACCCACCTTGGGACCCGTTATCGTTATCGTTTTCTGCGTTTCCGTGTCAGCCTCGTGTGGCCGAACCGTCTATCTGATAGTGAACTGTAGCAGATACGACCGTTATCGTCCTCGTGTGGCCGGGGCTATAGTGATAGCACTACACTAGCACTTCTATTGGATTGCGCCAACCAATCAGAGCAGACTAGGCTCTGGTTTAAGACATAGGGTGAAAAGAGGTGCTGCAGTATGATAAAAAAGAACGACCTTTTTGAACATTAAAGCCTGGAGACATGTTACAGTAGAAACACTTAATACAAAATGAACCTGAAAATGAGCAGAATATGACCCCTTTAATGTCTTGAAAATAAACAGAAACAGAAATCTCTGACGGGACAAAACCAAAACAGTTCGAAGGTAGGGAGACATTTTTTAGTTCATATTAGACCCCATCACTAGCATATCGAAACCGGAAGATGATTCGAACAAAATAAACATTAAAAGGTCTTGAAGATAGCGTTGATCAGAAATGTTTCAAAATGTTTGATGTATAATTTTTTAAGAACAGTTTTAGAACCAGATAATATAAATGAAACTCTTCAGAGATCATTATTACCAATGCTGGGAGAGGTGGGGTGATGAACGGATGGTCTTCTGACAGATTAGGGTAAAGTCTGTTTGGAGACAGGACTGCAGAGTTCCTCATGGTATCTCGATGAGGAAGAGCGGGGGGGATTTCTTCTTCTGATGTTGGGAGGGTTGAGCTTGGATGCTTCGAGTTGTTTTCCATCCAACCGATGTGGGTATTTACAGGTTTTGGGGAAAACAGCAACTCTGCATAGTCAGACTTGTGATTGGATCTCTGGACAGACAGAGAAGCACAACAGGTTGTTACTGTTTTCTTTTTGCATGAAGTGCAAGTGGAAAGGAAATAAGCAAATGTTGTGGTTGTTGATTGTAAAGGTGACTACAGTACAGGAAAAAAATAAGGACATTTTCCCAATGCAAATATATTGTCCCAATGCTATACTGACATTTACACAGTCTGATGTAAACTAACTTAGGATATTGTATACAAACATATTTGTTCGTATACAAACCATTCAAATCTTTATCTTTTAGATCAACAGTCACCTGTATTCAGTTCCTCACCTGTCCACAAGCGACAGTCAACAACTCGCTGAAAGGCATGATGGGAGTCCTGCGGTGGAAGTCTATGAGCTCCTGCAGACCCCGATGACGCAGGTCTTCTCCAACTATGATGTACTGACCGTCCTCTAATGCATCGATCATGAAATGTCTGCAGCGGTCATCAGCACTGAGGGGCAAAGAGAGAGGGGGGGTCCTCATTAAAGGGGCCCTATTCTGCTCATATTCAGGTTCATATCAGTATGTAGTGTCTCTCCTGTGACATGTCTCCATGCTCTAATGTTCAAAAAGCTCTTTATTTTTCTCATACTGCCTGTGCTGCAGCACCTCTTTTCACCCTCTGTCTGAAACCAGAGCCCAGTCTGCTCTGATTGGTTAGCTGGCAGGCTCTGTTGTGAATGGTCAACCGCTTATGGCGCATTTCCACTGCAGCACATAGCACGGTTTAAGCGTGCCGTGCCAAACCCGGACCGTTTTTTTTTGCTTTTCCACTAGGGGTAGTTCCGGGTCAGGGCTACTTTTTCACATTTTTTCTGGCCCTCCAAAATCGAGGTTCTTACCGGGCCAACAACCGGGCTGAATATGCTAAACTAGTGACGGCAAGGGGGCTACAACTACAACAAAATGAACATATGTTACCGTGATTTAATTGTAATACACGTTTCAAAATGATGCCGAAGTAACAACATACTGATACCGGTTAGTAAAAACCATGAATTAATGCTTTAACAAGTCTGCAGACAGACGGCAGGCGAAAAACCTTTTAAAATGCGTGTTTTCTGAATGGAGATCGGCTAAGCTAACGCAGTATATGCTCCGACCGTCCACACTCACAACAACGGCCTACAGACATAAATAAAGCAGCGACTGTATTCACCATGACACAGACAGTCTGTGGTTTGTACTTGTTTAACTTTTGTCTAGTTTCTGAACAGATATGAGGAGCTGTGAGCTTTGAGTGCTAACAGCTAACGGCTGATGTTGGTTTTGTGGTTCGCATTGAAGATGACGTCATGGCTCCGCCTACACTGCGTTACTATAGTTACTGCCCCAGCTACTAAACTGTAATGGAAATGCAGCATAAAGTGAGCCTGGCCTACCAAGGCCTAACTATACCGTACTAAGCCATGCGAGGCCCTGCAGTGGAAATGCGCCATAAGAGATGACCCGCCCCTTAGCCTATCACGTACAATGTGTTGGTGCACTAGCCAATAGAAGCGCGAGTGATACATAGTGATGTCACCATGTTACAGAACAAAACAAAGGAGTCCAATTCAGACAGGAGGGGGAGTGTGTGGGAGAGAAACTCCTTCTGGAGGGAACACATAGATCTTAGCCTTAGACCATTAACATGCACAACAACCTTTAAAACACACTACAGGAAAGGGAAAACCCCAAGAAGCATAATAGGGCCCTAAATCCTGCAGAACCTCACCGGTATGAGAGAGTGTAACCGATCCGGCTCTCACTGACTCTGATGAGGAAGTAGCCTCGACGCCTGGACATCAGCAGTTCCTCTGACATACTGCAAGAATAATAACAAGCATGAATTACAACAAGATAAAAACCCTTTCATACATGCTCCTTAATCTGTAAACCATTAAGCCATTTTATTGGGTGGCTAATACATGTGGACTGCAGAGGGATAGTGTCAATTCAAGGGAATATTTCACCCACAAAATGACTATTTTTATATAAATTACTCACCCCATGTTACTTAGAATATCGCCTTTACATTTTCTAAAAACTGAGCCAATTCTTGATAATTTTAAGCCACAAAACCATTTTCAAACTCACACATTCTCACACTACATTGATCCAGTTGCATACTCACTACTTCGTGTATTTTAAACAGAGAGAAAGGGTTTAGCAAACATTTTTATGTTCAGGGATGAGTGAGCATGCAACTGGATAACTGACACTGTATGATATGAGTTTTTATAGTATTGTTTTGATATATAAATATATTGCTAAACCTGTCCTCCATTTTCTTAAATTAAGACTTTCTGCTGTTTTGCAAGAAATATCCTTCAAGATTTTTTAAATAATGCGAGGTGAGTAATCGATATGCATATGGTCATTTTGTGGGTTAAGTATTAAGGAAACGGCTTACTTTTCAAAGCATGACAACATGCTCTCACAATGCCTGGACAAACAGTGTAATAAATACAGGCCGTTATACTCTTGTCAGCAAAGTAAACAGATGGAGTACACCATGTCTAATATCAACTCACATATATCATCCACTATTCAGAGCTGTCAATGTGTAAACTGGGTGTGGAGGAAGCAAAAAGGCACTGGAAGTACGAGTGGTAATAGAAAAGTAGAAGTATTCAAAGGGTAAAGTCGACGATTCAAGACTTTACTGACACATCTGTGACTTACAAAGTAAACATTTGTAATTAAAAAATGTTTCCATGAACATGGAGATTAAATATGCAGTCGTATAGTTTTGCATGTTCTTCCATTCCTAAAAAGATGTTGAGGATATCTCTGTTGTCACCATTTTTTTCGTGGTTTTGATGTTTTACCACGACGACGGCGGCACATCTTTACATCAGGTAGTGGTTGAGAGTAATGTTGACCTTTTATTTGAACATGGTTGCCCAGAACTTCCTCAAAAGTTTTAATAACTTCCTGAAAAGATTCAACATTTCAGGGATTCAAGAGCTTCCTCTGTTTTGCCTTTTTTGGGCTTTTGAACCCACTTCTCAATGATTGTTTATGTTATTTTAACCCTCAGCTCTAGGATGAAGGTACATATATTAAGTTTTAATCCTACACTTTTACTTTTACTCTTCTTAACCTGACAGATATATTAACTACCCCTCTTAATCACGTGAAATGTTGACATTGCTCTTCCTATCCCTCGCTGCAGATGTCTGACAGCGATGCCCTTTGAGAACTCACTTCCTGGAAATGATCCCATGAAACCACTCGGGGACGACGCCGTTTCTGATCACAGTCCCGACCTGCGACTCCTTGAACCAGACCAAAGACTCATGCTGACTCTCCATCATCCTGCAAACAGCTCATGTAATCCTCTGTTAGAATAGGAAAAAGACCTGTAAATGATTAATTTACAGCTCCTTGGGACCATACATAGATACTTGTTCAAGGAGCACACAAAGTTCACAGAGAACACAAAGTACAAAGTACAGCCATATTTCTGCCTGTAGGGTAATTAAGCAGCAGATGTTGACAACAAGTTCATATTTTTCCACTTTCCATAGTCATTGTTCCTCTTTTAATTACACACTGAATACCATTTATGTTGTGGTGCAATGTGAATATTGTTTCTAGTTAAACTTGTGCACAAAGAAAAACTCCATAATAAAATGTCAGTGTTTGAATTATGTTCTAAAAGACGGTTTACAATAAAAAAAACAGATCTTTGGCAAGGCAAGTTTTTAATATAGCACTTTTCAACAACATAGCAAACAGCTTAATTCCATTAACAAGCATTAGGACACACTGCAGAATAAACACATTTGCACTATACAGGAACATGTACTACTATTACTTTTTGTATCAGTTTTTACTAGTAATAATAAAGTTATAGTTAGAGTCTACAAAGTGCTCTGACATACAAAGCAAGCAGGCAAATAATGTCCTGTCATTTTTCAAGAACAACTTTGACCTGACTTGTACAACAAACATATGAAAGGTGTAGTTTGAACACTCATCACTGGATTTTAAAAATAAACTCTAAAATGACTGAATAGAGGATTGTGAACATCAAGCGTAACTCACCTTGTCCTGAAGCTCGGCGATGAAATGACATAGCAGATCTGACTGGGCTGATACACCTGTCTGTGGGCGGAGACACGGAGACACACACACACACGCACACACACACACACACACACACACACACACACACACACACACACACACACACACACACACACACACACACACACACACACACACACACACACACACACACACCACACACACACACACACACACACACACACAAAGTGAAATATGTCTCCTCTGTAACACTCTGTCTAAACATGTTTCCTGTATGACGATGAGCTTTTGTGCTGCCCTCAATGACGTCATCACACACACACACACACACACACACACACACACACACACACACACACACACATACACACACACACACACACGCACACACACACACACACACACACACACACACACACACACACACAAAGTGAAATATGTCTCCTCTGTAACACTCTGTCTAAACATGTTTCCTGTATGACGATGAGCTTTTGTGCTGCCCTCAATGATGTCATCACACACACACACACACACACACACACACACACACACACACACACACACACACACACACACACACACACACACACACACACACACACACACACACGACGTAATGCAACTAAAAAACATGTCGTCTAAAGTCTTAGTATCAACTCATCCAACATGGCTTATCAGTGTATACGTGTATATCTACAGAATTGTATCATACATAGATCATATATCCTGGGGTGGAAAGTCACTAAGTTCATTCACTCGGGTACTTGAGTACAATTTAGACACATTTGTACTTATTTCCATTGCATGCTTCTTTATAGTATTGCTACTACATTCTATAATGCACCCAACTTTATTAATTTGACACCAAAAGTGACAGTAGTTCATACATTAAATAACAAATTGTTTGATATGATGCAGTATTAAGCTAGTACACTAACCAATAGTGAATCAAGTAAATAAAATCAGCCCCTTATAATATTCTAATATCACTGTGAAAGGAGACATTGTGCAGAATTAGTTATTTTACTTTTGTACGTAAAATAGATTCTGCTGATACTAATTCTTAATTGAATTCAACTTTTAAATGTAGGACTTTTACTTGCAATGGAGCATTTTTAGACTATTTCCACTTTCAATAAACTCAGAGTAGTTTGTTCCACCACTGAGTATATCATAAAGCAACAGTTATCTGAAATAAATTGAGGTTAAAGTATTAAAACGTTTTGATCTATCAGAGAGTAGCCAGCTGAGAGGAACTGTGAGACTTCAGTACAGCATTCATCAGCTGTTACTCAAAGTTACATTTGCACAAGTATCAGTTAATCATACCGAGGTTGGAGACCATTCAATGATATCGTTTGACTCAATATTTACCGGTTCCAAGTGTGTATTTTTAGGCGTTATGTCAACTAGATTGTATAAATAGAAATGATAGAGGCTGTTTCAACCACATGTGCTGCAAATACACTTTTTGTCAGAAAGATAAAAGAGTGCACACAATAGTTCAATTGAATGTAAACTGAAAAGTTGACTTAGTACTTTTCGACAGAGATTTGGCAATAGTTGTCTTTTCTTTCTTTGTTCTTTAAACCTATATCTAATCAGGTACAAAGCTTCTCGTTCATCTGCTGTTCTTTCAGAGGGGAAGCTCTCACTAAAAGGAACTTGACAGTAAAGTTCACGGCCTTTGGATGTTATTGTTCTTGGTGACATATTAACTAATGAACCATTTCAATGAAAATTCCTGCTAACGCTGGAGGGAAAGTTAAATAACCATAATAATCTGTGAAATGTTCCTCCCACACGAGGATTGTCTACATGTTAAAGAACTTCGTAAAGGTCAAAACCTTGTGCTGGCTCCAGAGGAACCTCAACGCTCTATCCGCTAAATGCAAACTTTTAATCAATGTAGAAAAGGTCAGTTTGCTCTCTGTAATATTGGCCAGGATCTCTTTATATTCAACAAGAGATATGTTGTGCTTCACATTATAACGAATCCAACATTTTGACCTGAATGTGTCTTAGCTTGGAGTCACACGTGAGCGGGAGTGGCCTGTCTCCATGTCCACTTTATTCTGCAGCTAGTCCTGATGCAAAGTACCTGTGAAGATGCAAATATGTGAGTTTTCAAGAGTCCATTTGCATTTGTTGCTCATGTTACATCTCCGCAAATAACTTCCTTTTCTCTGCCTTTATCCTACGTGTAGCGTTTTGCTTCATTTTTGGATCATATTAAGCATAGAAAAACTAACAGCACATCAAAAAAAGAATAGAAAAACTCTTACTGTTACACTAATGAGGATCAGGAAGGTGTGGAAAGTGGGCACATTGACAGGTGGTTGAAACAGCTCAGACTGTGAAGACACCTTTATAACTGTAAGGAAGAAAAGGAGAATATGTCAAGTTAGAACAAATTACCTGAAAAGCAGAGGTGGGAAGTAGTAGAGTACAAATACTTCATTACTGTACTTAAGTAAAATGTTCTGGTATCAGAACTTTACTCCACTACTTATTTTTCTGACGACTTTTTACTTTGACTTCTTACATTTTGAACACAAACACCTGTACTTTCTACTTCTTACATTTTCAAAACAGGCTGGTTACTTTAGTTTTAATCTGTGTTTGGTGGCCTGATCATTATTATTTAGAGTCATTGCGTGCCTATTAATAATAATAATAATACATTTTATTTGGGGGGCGCCTATCATAGCACCCAAGGACACCTTACAGGGCATAGGGGCAATATAGGGAACAATTGAAACAGTGGATTTAGTGAAATATCAGCCGGGGTAAAATAAGACAAACAACAGGAAATGGACTACAGAAGGACACAGGGTAGAGTTTCTGATGAGAATGCCAGTTTGAACAGCTGGGTTTTGAGTTGGGTTTTGAATGTTGTTATGCAATCAGACTGTCGGATGTGTAGTGGCAGGGAGTTCCAGAGTCTGGGAGCCGAGCAGCTGAAAGCTCGAGCACCCATGGTGCTGAGGCGAGAACTTGGGACGGTGAGAAGTCCTACGGACGAAGAGCGGAGGGTGCTCGGTGATGTAGATGGGGGCAAGGTTATGGAGAGCTTTATATGTGAGTAGAAGGTTTTGTAGTCAATACGGTAGTCCAATATTCAAGCACTTAACACTCAAAAAAACACTTTGAAATATACTTTTGAGGACATCCAGCACCGATATGAACACTGATTATTTGATTGTTTACATACATTTCCAAAAATAAAAAAGGTACAAACATAATAAGTCGAGTAAACAAGTTTTTTGTAAGAATCTCATTTTTAATAAATCATCAAAACACATATCTACAAAATGTGTAGATCAATAAGACTTATGAACCTTCAGTACAACCATTGTAGATCTTATTTACAACTGCTGAATTATTACATTTGTTCCCCATGAAAACCATCAATAATCAGCGATGAAATCCAAATTAAGTCGGGGAATGCTGAAGATATGTTAACATAGAAGTGACAAATGTATACTTGGTGAAAATAACAAATGACTCGAAATACATTTCACAGAATAAAGCAGAAACCTGCAACTTCATCAAATCGACTTCATCTGCGAGAGCCAGACATTTTTGCCAAAACCATGTTAACAGCAACGATTTAAATCCACCTACGCAGTTACAACATCAGTTCAACAACTTAATTTGCTCAAACTGTAAAATGTCAGACGTGATTTTTATGTCAGCTTTGAAATCATTTCCTAATCCTTCTTCTGAAAAGCTCAAAAGTGACGGCAGAAAGTAAAAGAGCAAAGGGTCCAATCTCAAATAAAGCTCGAGTCAAATGTGCAACGCTTTTTTGATGTTTTCTACGCACCCAGAATGCATAGTTCACACGGCCGTGAGACCGCGCCAAAACAAGATGTCTGAAATCTGGATAAAGGAGGAAGGGGGAGAGAATAAGAGAGAGTAAGAAGAGAGGGGTGAGTCGTGGAAGCTTCCAAGAGCATCAATGGGTGTGGAAATGCATAAAAAGCTGGGAAAAGTGAAATAACAATTCATAGATTTGTTGTAATAAGAAAAAAAAAACATGTCTAAATTAAAGGCCTTCGGTTTATTTTCATTACTATATCAAAAAAATTGGTTTAAGTGCTCAGATGTTTTTAGGGAATCCCAGACAGTGTGCATGAATATGTTTTGCTTTCAGTCAAAGGGGCCATATTCTGCTCATTTTCATATTAGTTTCATATTAGTATCGAGTGTCTCTACTGACATGTCTCCATGGTTTAATGTTCAAAAAGCTCTTTATTTTTCTCATACTGCCTGCCTGCCTGTTTTCACCCTCTGTCTGAAACCAGAGCCCAGTCTGCTCTGATTGGTTAGCTGACTAGAGATGTCCCGCCCCTTAGCCAATCATATACAATGTGTCGGAGCACTAGCCAATTGAAGCACAAGTGTTACATAGTGACGTCACTGTGTTCAGGAAGTAAACGAAGATGTGGGAGAGAAACTTCCTCTGGGGGGAACTTTGGGATTTTAGCCTCTGAAGACCATTTTCATGCACAAAAGCCTATATGACACACTACAGGAAATGGGAACCCCCGAAAAGCACAATAGGGCCTCTTTAAGATATGCAGCAAAATTGTTAAGAACTTCTTTTTTTTTACAGAAAGAACAAAAAGGAAAAAGTGCATAATAATCAATAAGAACATAAAAGGGCACTTTGTCATTTTGGTGCTGTTTTGTTTCACTCCATAAATACTGCTACAGAGCCCAGAGAACAGTTTGTGTGCACGCCGCCCCCAAAACAGGAAGTATGAAGATGTAATCATCGCTGAGACTCCTGTGTAACTGTGTCGCCTCCTGCTGTCAGAGTTAGGTATTGCTCTGTCAGTTGAAGTGCATCAAAATGATCTACCTCCTATCTCATAGAATACCTAAAATGATGAGGCAATAAACAACAAAAAGGAATCTGCGAGCCCTTAAAACAAGCCGGTCTTACTGCAACCACATGAATACTTAGAGAAAGGCTTAAGAAAAGGGCTCCACACACACACACACACACACACACACATTGCACATTAAAGTGTTCACAAGAGGAATGTATCGGCCTATGAAAATTCAACGGAAAGTAAAAAAAGGTGATCCAAGTAGATATGATGATGTGCTGGCACGACTGATTTCATAATCAATGATATATATTTACATGTTTACCTAATGTTGATATACCAAAGAGGCCACCCACCCACAATGTGGAGTCTCATCACCTTGGATAACTATCAGTGTTTCCCCTAGGATGGAGTCATAGCAGCGGTGCGAAGGCACGTGGGCCCAGCATAATGTAAGCGCGGAGCGCATGGAATTTTTTAGTGTGCACGTGCAAATTTGTTTCTATGGCCCTTTCTCAAGTCATTTCACTAATTCCCCTCCTCGACTCCCCTCCTCGACTCCTATCCTCGAGACTTAGTCCCGCCCACAGGAGATGCGAGCGGAGGAGTCGAGGAGGGGAGCCGAGGAGAGAGGAGGGGAAGCAGCAGGCGGTTAGAGAAATGAGAACTCCTCTCCTCTGAGTGGTCATTTTAAAGAGACGTCCATTAATGATTGTTAAGGAATAATTCTTCTAGATATCTAACCTTTTGCTCTGTGACGTTTTATGATCTACTCTGACGTCTGTTATCTCCTTTAAGGAAAGGCCTTGGTGCCATATGTGTTGTTGTCACCAGGTTGTGACCGGTCAACTTGACTGGCACGAAGGGTAATTGTTGTGAGAACACTGAGGCACTTCTTTATCGGTGTTTGTGGGCTCTAGGATGTGAAATCCTTGAGGCCATGAGTGTCGGACGCAGGTGGTTCAGTGTTCCCAGCTGTTTAGTCTACTCCTTCAGAGATGTTGATTTCTCTCTGTGAACCAGTTAAAAGGTCTAGCATCAGAGGTGGGGACTCGAGTCACATGACTTGACTCGAGTCAGACTCGAGTCGCATATTTTTGGACTTGAGACTTGCTTGACTAACATTGATAAAAGACTTGACTTGACTTTGACTTGGTATTCATGACTTGAGACTTGACTTAAGCTTGAGACGGATGACTTGAAAGGACTTGTCTGTTTAAAATTAAATATTTGCGTTTGTTTTTGTAGTGAGATATTACGTTTAGTTTTTTCGAAAAATGTGATTGGGTGATTATAGCGCCATGCGCGCAAACCTGGCAACCCACTAGACGGCAGGAGCGTCAGTTAACATGGCAGCGGCTTGCGTTACTCCAAAAATAGTGAAGTTTGGATTCAAGGATTATGTTGTCGATGACGCTAATAAGAAGAGAACAGCAGTATGCAGGGTCTGCAGCATAAAGATCAGTGACACGACCACCACAACATCCAACTTCATTCGTCACTACAAAAAAACCCACAGAGAAAGGTGCGTGAATGTGTTGTGTTAGCTAGAAAGCTAACGTTAAGTTTAAGCTACGTTAGACTTGGTTTCAAATCGATTAAGCATTGCAAAACGGTAAATGAACACTAGAACCGCCAAGGGATTCATTTGTACTAACCCTGATACTGACGGGCTGTCAGGAGAGGGAGAGAGAGAGAGGAAAAGAGATGCCTCGTTTATTTCCCCTGTGTTATTATCAGAAGTTACTGTAAACTGTTGAATAATGTAGTTCATCTACTTTTAGTAGTTTGTTTAAATGTTTTAATTATGTTGTTTTTGTTTGTAGAAGTGCATCATTTCTTGATTTATTGTAAAATGAATTTGAACTTTTTGATCTGTTATGATGATAAACTGAAGCAATTTCTAAATTAACCCAATTAACTGAGTTTTAAATCGTCCTACTTAGTTTATAAGGAAATTATGAAGAGGAACAAATTAAATGATTTGAAAATGATATCTATGTAGGTGCTGACGCTGTTGGCGGTTCTAGTGTTAACAGAAATTTAAATTAAATATGTGTAATGGCAAATGCCATATATGATTTTCTTACCTGGAATTCTGCCTTTTTGAACAGACTTTTTGATTGAGTCCTAGCTATATTGTCTGCAGTTCTAGGGTTAATATTAATCTAATATGATTGTCATTGGTCTAAATTAGATTTCAAATGATTAACTGTGTATGTAATGAAAATCATAGTGTGGGTTAAATCCATTTTCATAACCACTGTCTTTTAACTGATTTAAATGGGGAAACTGGGCTTATTCATCAGAATTTCGTATGACTTGACTTGACTTGCTTGACCTGAGCAATGACTTGACTTGACTTGCTTGACTCTCACCACAGTGACTTGGGACTTGCTTGATACTTGTAGGTCAAGACTTGAGACTTGCTCATGACTTGCACATGTAGGACTTACTCCCACCTCTGTCTAGCATAGAGAGAGGCTCTTCAGAATTGACGTGGCAACTCTACCGTGTAGTCAGAACCTCTGACTCTTTGATTTGTGATGTGAATCCTCCGGCCGAATACTCTGA